GTCAATTTTGGTAATTTCGTGATTACCTGCAGACAAGTAACCACGTCGTATGCTGGTAATTCCATTATCACAACGTTATACTGTCTTTAGCTGGTAATTTAGTTACCAGTACTAGTATATATATATATATATATATATATATATATATATATATATATATATATATATATATATATATATATATATATATATATATATATATCCATCCACGTGCGTTGAGAATTAGCCTTCCTGTTTTTCCCCTCAATTTCAGTTTAACGGAGAGATTTTATCTACACATTTCTCATTTCTAAACATAATAGTTTAATAACTCAAACTGATTTATTTTATCTTTGCCATGACGACAGTAACTTCTATACAGCTTGACGCTTCTATACAGCTTAAAGTGACATTTAAAGGCTTAACTAGGTTAGGTTAACTAGGCAGGTTAGGGTAATTAGGCGAGTTATTGTATAATGATGGTTTGTTCTGTAGACTATCAATAAATATATACTGTAGCTTAAAGGGGCTAACAATTTTGTCCTTAAAATGGTATTTTAAAAAAAATTAATAACTTCTTTTATTCTACCTGAAATAAAACAAATAAGACTTTCTCTAGAAGAAAAAAAAAATATTATCAGACATACTGTGAAAATTTCCTTGCTCTGTTAAAGATAATTTGGGAAAGATTTAAAAAAGGGGGAAAAAATAAAAGGGCGGCTAATAATACTGCCTTGAACTGTGTGTATAAATTAAATATACACGTTTTTTTGTTAAGATGTCATTTTGATAATATGTTTACTGTATTTATTAAAAAGTGAACTAACACTCCCTGCTAATCATATAGTGTGTAACTGCAACATATTTTAACTATCGCTTTCGTTATTTGTGACATGGTAACTGATTACAACTTTCGTTGCTGCAATGTAACGTTTTGACGTTCACAGACAATCACTTACCATAACCTTTAAGTTTATTTTTGAACAGCAGGAAATGAGTTAGAAATTCATTGGTAGGGTGTAAATTTCCACTTAATGGCCCAAGCAATTGATGCCTGTATTGAAGGTAAGAAGTTGGATTTGCCTAATTTTGAGAATGAGTTGGGCGTCACGTTGGCACAGTGGGTAGCACAACCACCTCACAGCAAGAAGGTAGCTGGTTCGAGCCCCAGCTGGATCAGTTGGCATTTTTGTGTGGAGTTTGCATGTTCTCCCAATTTCACAGTTTAAAGGCATGCGATATAGGTGAATTGAATAAGCTAAATTGGCCGTAGTGTATGAGTGTGAATGTAATGGGTGTTTCCCATTGTTGGGCAAATGAGGACAAGTAATTGTCCACCCTAAAAATGACCAAATTAGTATCAGAGCATGACAGTCACAACGTTGTGATTACTAAGTGGCCACCTCATGAGGTTATTGTAGCAACGTAACTGCGAATTAAACTTTTCCAGTTGTCAAGACGTAATTAGTTACATTGTTGAAACTTTGGTTGTCAAAATACATTGAAGTTACGTAATAATCACGTTTTAATGCTAGCTGAGACCCCATTTAACAATTTGCTATTTAAAAGTGGTTTCAGACTTTCGCATAATCATCGCTTATGACCAAAACCCAATCTCTTTTAACATCAAATTACATGCAATACATCTTGTCCTCTTGAGCACTGACATTAACACAAACCATGATTTCCAGAGCAGATAAGCTTCATTTTGAAAAAAAAAAATTGTCGAGTCCTGTGCCATTTTCCCTAAATGTAATAAACAACAGACACACATTCAGCAATTCAGAGTCTGCTTGCATGCATACACACTCACACTGCCATCTAGACCTCCAATGATGTCTGTCATCTCACTAAATGATGCTACAAATTGGGGGACAAAACTCATCGTGTTGTTTCCTCCCACCTCAGCACTGTCTACTACAGTACATGAAAGGATCTTCGGGGAGTGAGGCATCATTATAATCTTGAAAAGCACATGCGCTACATCGGTCATATCTCCAAAGATCAAAGACACCTTTGCTAATGGGATTGTGAAGCTTATTACAGGTCTAAGTACACTAAATCAATCACCTGACTCTATTCTAGTCATCTGAATTGGCTGGGACAAGCAGTCTCTTCACGGTTATGAAGCTAAACACTGAATCGCATTTCTTTAAGGTAATCCAATTAAAATAAGACAGTACACCTTGAGTGGAATTTGTTGCCATTATTTGAAATAATGAGGGACTAAGCATCTCCGGTGAGGAGAGAAAAATGAATTTTAGTGCCTACTTTCACAAGAAAATGGAAGTATTGATCTGTTCTGCCCCTGTGATTTCTGCTGTTGAGTGTTTGAACAGGGATATTTATGCAGGCGGTCCCAAAGACCAACTAGCTGTGCAAGGTTGGAGAACAACCTTGTACAGCTGGTCGAATAGAAAGCAGGAGAAATTAGCAGGAAGGTGTGTTAAATAATTCTGAACTGAATCCAGTATGGGTGCCTGAAAGAGCAAGGCGGAAAGGACAGAGTTGGTGCTCATTTGCTGACTGACTGCCCTCTCCTGGCCTTTCTGACAGAGGACTTAAACTGCATTTAATGTTTTCATGGCTTTAATGAGGGTCACTAAAAATGCTCGGAATAGAAACCAGGTAAGATCATACCCAGGTAGCAAAGAATTCTGGCCCAGATTTGGCATAAAGCTGGCACAGCAGGCATTCGTCCGGCACTGGCATGCAGCATGTGGGCCATGGTTTGGCTGAGGTGGCACTCAAGTCTTGGGCCAGATCCCAAATGTAGTATTTGGCCCAGATGTTTACATGTATATGTGGTCCATATAAGTTTGGTCTCTCTATCCACATTTAAAATACATTTAAATTATTTTTGAGCAAAGAAAAAATTCTATCAATCACGTCGCTTCAAGAAAAAGCACAGCCATAAAGCGAAATGCTTCATGGGTTTATAAAAAACATTGCAGTCATGACACCAACATACCTAGCCTAGTTCAGGCCCAGTTATGTGTTAATTACTTGGCTGAGACTTGACCCAGATATGGTCCATGTTTGCCGCTTGTATGGAAGCCAGACTTGGTCCAGTCATGTACCGTAATTCTCTGTGGCATGTGGGCCAACCAAACGCTGATGGTGTGGGCCAGATCTGGGCCAAATAAATTTTGCTATGGGGGTATTCACCTGAAAAGTCTCCCGCTCTCACAAATGATTTACAATTCAGAAAGAAGAAATATTAGTTTGAAGCTGTAAGATTCCATTCTATCAGCCCAACAATAAATGGTCGAAGGTTAAATGCATGTGAGCCTTTTTAGCGCTTCTGAAAATAATTGTGTTCTTTATTAGAATTTATCTATATTTGTTTTCAGCTCAGAATTCAAATACACTCCATTTTTAAGTGACCATCAAATTTAGACTATTTCTAATCAGGAATGGGTCAAAATTTTCATTAATGAATCAATGTAGTGTTTTGACATATCTGATCCCATACTCTGTCATATATTCATTAGGGACCCCAGTTTTCATGCAACGGGGTTTACATGTTTCTCACGGGCAGGATCTCAACATTCTAAAGCTAGTCAGAGGATGCAGTGTTAACTAATACCAAATTAAGGCTGATTTATACTTCTGCATCACGCACACGTATGTTAAAGCGCAGCCTACGCGTGGACGTAAAGCCCTTGCTGTCGCCCCATTGAGCAATTGTTTACAAGTGTGGTCCTGTGAAGGAGCTCCAGAAGGAGACTGTTGCTTTGTGTTTACCTTTTGGTTAAAGTTGTTTCACATTCACCGGTTCCTGCCTCAAATTGAGCGAGTTAGAACCACTTGTACATTAAGGAAGAATTCACAAAAAACAAAAACACCAGCAAAGAACCTCGACACAGAGGAACAAACACCTCACTGCCAACTAGCATTTCGGACGTGTTATTGCAGATCAACAGAAGCGGGGCACAGAAGCAAGCATGCACAGCTATGTGCATTGCATGCACCGTGGGTCACAGCAATCACTTGACGCAGAAGTATAAACCAGGCTTTAGTCCAGTTGCCTCCTGATCACTCGTACTAAAAGTGTGGTTAGATTAGTAATTTCCATACAACTTGCTAAATCAACGATAACCAGAAATCTAACAGTCTCCAAGCTGAAGTGCTGACCGCTCAAATCTTATGCCATTCATTCGCAAATCATGAACACAGATCAAGGTAGCTCCATCCTCCACATAATCTACTGGACAAGACTTTAGGAGAATTCAGAATCAACAAGGTTATTTATTTTCCAGATACAAGTGTATCATGTCAATTACAGAACCAAACAATAAGTCATTTCAGAAGAAATATACAATTATTCAAAGATAAGAGTATAGATGGAAATCCAAATAATAAAGCGTTGAGAGCCCTCTTACCTACTACAGGCCAGTCTGGATAAAGGCTTGCAACCACAAGACATTTTATCTTTTTCAACCCTATGAAAACAAGGAATGGTTATTTTGTCAAAGTTAACCAGTAACTTAAGATTTACTCAGTTGGGTTTAAAATCAAATGTTAAACAGTGAACAAAATCTCATTAGAGTAAATCAACACCAGTGGAAGTATCCTTGACTTTCCCAGAATTTATTATTATTATTTTTTTACATCATGGCAAACGAAAGTTCAACTAAGCCAATCCCTACAATACCATAGGCATAACCAGTAAAGCATGTCAGAGCTAAAAAAGTCTAGCAAGCTATTCAAGGGCTAACACAACAACATTTCTAAAGATTTAGTCAGTGTACATAATAGGGAAGAAGAAGCATGCCAGGGCCATAGAGAGAAGAAAAAAAAAAAAAAAAAAAAAAAAAAAAAAAACTACATTACCCTTTTTCTGGATGTTAAAACCGAATTTAACATGAGCAGTTGTTTTAGAAATAAAGTTTCAGGAAATTCAAAACACTTTAGATCAAAAAGAGTGCATTACTCCTATAGAAATGCACATTAGTACATGGATTAATCAGCCAATGCAACTTACACACACGTGAAAGGAAAGTCAAGTACCACAGAAGTTAGTTCAATTGAATTTATTGGTTTTCACAGATGTCATTAACAGATCCCATTTAGTCCAACGAGCAGATGTACAGGATCACACCACTAGCCCTTAACAGTTGTCAAAGTCTTGAAGAGCTAGTCTATAACCATAGCTTGGTCGTCAACGATGGGATTCAAGTTAGAAGAATCAAACATGGGGACAGCAGACTGTACAGAGACAAGACCTTGTGAAACTGCTTGGGCATTGGAGCCTACAGATGAAGCTACATATTTTATTGGGCGCTGAGCTAAAATAGACTGAGCAGCAGACATTGGACTAGTTATTGAGGAGCCTGAAGCAGCCTGAATGGGCTTTGAGGGTCTAAGCAGCGTACTGGATAAACTTGGGGTCTTATGAGAACTAGAGGTTGTACTCTGGACAAGAGGCAAGCTTAGGGCAGGCAGGACAGGAAACTGACTGGAACCCGAGGAGCTACTCTGGGATACAGCTGTGCTAGGCAAGCCACTATATGCAATGCCTGCCTGTGGTGAGGCAAACTGGCCAGAGAGCCTACCGGCATAGTTGAAGCTTGGAGATGCAGCGTTAACTTGGGATACCACAGTACGAGAAGTCTCATAATCTGGTGACCAGCTAGTGGAGGAAGGTCGCCATTGTGTCGCTGGGCCACTGATAAGGAATTCCTGTTTTGAACCTTGGCTCGGTCTCAGGGGCAATTCCACATCCAGAGCAGTGGGGACATATTGGCTAGAGGTTTCCTGAAGCTTGATAAAGGTGCCATCGGTAGAGGGAGTTTTAAAGCCTTGAGACACTGTGCTGCCCTGTAGCACAGTACTGTGCAAGCTAGTGGAAGGCTGCAGTATGGACAAAGATTCACTTGGGGCAGCCTGACTGTACATGAGAACTTCTTTAACAGCAGTTGGGGTATATACACCAGAGGTACCTTGAGGCTGGGGAGAGGTGCTACCAGAGAACCCACTAGGAAGAGTCAGAGAGCCACTCTGTATGGTGCCTGATGTCTGAAGCCCTTTTGACACGGTGACAAAGGGCTGAGGCCTTGAAGGTTGATTAACATAGAGGGGTGAGACACCCTTAATTGCCTTACTAGACAGAAGCACTTTAGAAGAGGTTAGAGCATTCTGACTTGTACTCTGGGGTAGGGCAACAGAGCTGTAGGCAATTCCTTGTACAGGCGCTGATTGGCTGGAAGCTGCTAGCTGACTGTCAACCCAGCCCTGAGAGCTTGATATATACTGGCTTGAAGATTCCAGACCACTGGTAGACTGGCTCAAGGGTGAAGCAGCAAGCTTGACATAAACAGAGGATCCAGGGGTATACTTATTTGATGTACCTTGAGACTGACTAGTCAAGCCACCAAGTGATGCAAGGGTAGAGAAGCTAGTGGAAGGCTTGGAGCCTTGAGATGTGACACTCTGAGACCCAGTACTGGAAGACTGAAAACCAGATAACAAGCTAGTGGAAGGCTGCAACGGAGACTGAGATTCACTTGGGATGGCCTGACTATACACCAGCACTTCTTCTAGAGCAGTAGGGACATACAGGCCAGGGGTACCTTGAGACTGGGTAGAAATGCTACCAACAACACTGGGTGTTAGGAAGCTACCCTGTGTGGTTCCAGATGTCTGAAGTTCTTTTGACACTGCAGTGACAAAGGGCTGAGGCCTTGAAAGCTGATTTATAGAGAGAGGCGAGAGGCTCTGAACTGCTTTAGACAAAATCAGTTTTGCAGAGGAGGTCTGAGCACTCTGACCTGTGGTACTCTGGGGTTGGGCAACAGAGCTGTAGGCAATTCCTTGTACAGGCACAGATTGACTAGAAGCTGGTAGCAGACGGTCAACCAAGCCCTGGGAGCTTGATGTATACTGGATTGTAGACCCCAGACCACTCGTAGACTGGCTTACACTTAAGGGTGATGCAGCAACATGGACAGATGTACCTTGAGACTGGGAAGAAGTGCTACCAGGGAAACCACTTGGGGTCAGCGAGCTGCTCTGCATGGCACCAGAGGTCAGGAATCCTTGTAATGCCGTTTTGCCACTAGATTGAAGACCTTGAATCTTAGTAGGCTGCCACATAAGAGAAGATTGGCTTAGAGAAAGAGGCAAGCCACTCAGAGTTACTTCACTAGACACAGGCACATTCACAGAGGAAGGTTTAGCATACTGGATAGTGGCACCTTGCGGCTGGACGACTGAGCTATAAGCAATTCCTTGTACAGGAACATACTGATTGGAAATTGCAAGCTTACTGTCAACCCTGCTCTGGGAGCTTAAGGTGTGCTTGCTGCTGGAATCTTGACCACTGGTAAACTGGATTAGACCCATGGGGGAAGCAATGGCAGGCTTGGTATTTGCAGAGGACATCAGGGTGTTCTGACTTGAGGTACTTTGGGAGCTGACATTAGGAGAATCCGGCTTTGGGGAGCTGGATGAAGATCCAGCAGAACTAATTTTACACAAGGTTGACGGAATTTCATGGTCAAGACTGCTCCGGCTAGGAACCCATGAGGGGGAGAAGTCAAACTTCAAGAAAGAGCCTGTATTAGAAGGACTAGAGGAGCCTTGAGACTGAGATGTCAAGCCACCAGAACTTCCACTTCCCATTGAAGCAAGCAGTGAAGCTCCTTGCAGCTTAGATCCATCTGAAGTAGCAAAAGCATACTTCCTATTTGAACCCAATACATAGCTGCCCGAGGTCTGCAGATTTTGTGGTAGGACCAGGGAAGAAACCAAAGCACTTGGTGCACTTTGGGTGAGAGACATAGATTCAGAGTGACTAGATGGGCTGTTTCCAGCAAGCACAGAGACCACTTCTTCAGAAGGAATGCTCGCAGTTACTGGAACCTCCAATACAGAAGACTGGACAACCTGCGGTCCAAAGGATCCTTTGACAAACCAATTCTGTTGAGGCTGAACTTTCTGAGAAGACAAACCTGCATAAAAAAAAACTAAGTAAGAATAGCAGCTTTTTAATTTTTAGACCATCCATTCAGGTGATACTCACTTCTGTTTGCAACAGCATGTTTCCAGCAGATCAAGATGATCAACAGTAAATGGACCCTACAAGAGGCAAAACAATACAAATACAACCATTCAAAAGTTATTATTATTAGAAAATTAAACCATACTAAAATTAAACTCTGAAAACTGAACTACGCAATTTCAGATTTAGTGATTTGACTGTGCGCAAAGGCTTCGCATTATAATATATATATAAAAAAAATAAAAATAAAAAAAAGAGAAGCAATGTATGGAGCTAGATTAGTTTTGCCATCACATGATCGGTGATCTCAGAATCTTCATTCACATAAACCCATGACTGCTTCAAATTTTATTCAAAGGTTCAAACACCTTTTTGGTTAGTAAAGTGTAGCAAGAGATTAGGCATCAATTACTTAGATTTTTACCGTTTCAAAGCACTGCACTGGTCCCAAACACCAATAATTAAACCAATACAAATCGTAACTTAAAGTAGAAAGGTTTTGAACCAATCAATGTATTAGCATATTTTACCACTCTTTAAAGAGAACCACTGCATTTCGTAGTATGGGGTTTAATAGACGCCTGCTGGTGAGTGCAGCCCGAAAGCATCACTCATGGCCTCCTGGAGCATTCACCTCCGATACAGGAACTGCTAGTTCAATCTTCACTTGCAATGAGTGGGTGGGAGCAGGACTAGTTATATGCGATAAAACGTAAATACCCTGGATTTTACTAATGTCGTCAATGGTGAAAGGTAACAAACCTGATGTGTAAAAACTAGTCTAAGTAATTTGTTTACATTAGTGTTGTATTACTACAGTAATGAGTTGGTCAATTGTGAACATTTGACATTGCAACAATGCTATCCCACACTTTAGAAGAGTTTGTCGCAGAGCTCGGATTTAGAAAGCTTCAAGAAACAAACCCTTTTCTGGCACACTTAGCACTTAACTGGTTTCAAATGCTTCATTTCACCATCACTAAGAATTTCTGCGATACTCCTCTGACAATCAACATTGTAAAAGAACAAAAGATAAATTGAACTCACCTAATTTGCCCGGGGTCCATAGTCAAAAAATACATCAACAAGACTGCTTAATCAACAGGAAATCCAGAACCATCAAGTCAAAATCAGCTACAAATCTATGTATACACCAACAAAGTAGCATTTGTCTTTTAAAGGCCTGTCTGACCAATGAACTCACATATCCAATTACATAAAATGCTGTTCACCTGTTGGAAACTTGATGATTGAACTTGCCAAGACAATTAAACACAATCACCTGTCACCAATAACCGCTACACATTACATCATGCCTCCAACAGGAAGCATGTCAATGTGATTACTAGTACAATTAGAAAATCACAAACTACTGTCGCATGTGTGAATTAAAAATCTAATTTCTGTATTCATACATGTAAATGATACTTGTTATAATTCAGGTTTAGACAAAGGAAATATATATTTACTGCAAAAATGATACACAAGCAGATCTTTTAAACGTTCATTCTGGATACAGTACACTCTTTTCTTTTTAACTTACAAGTGCAATTATGTAGATATTCATTTCACATGCATATCTGTAATTTATTCTCCATTCAAGTGCTGCCTGGTGAACAGTTTGTGTACCTGTGGTGATTATGCATGACTATAAACAGCCGTTACCATATGTTAGTTCATGCATCAATGAATATTTAAGTGCGTCATTGTCGGGAGATGTGTTGAAATGTTTAAAAGGTTTCCTCAGCACAACCATCAGGTTATCATGGGAGAACTGCAATTACATAGAACCACAGGTGTGTGTGTGAGACAGACATTACGGCCATTCAACAGACTCGGCACAAAGCCAGATGAGGTGTGGGTTGACTCTCCCCCGACCAACGGCTGATTAATATTTATGGATCTTTAATCACAATAAGGAAGTTCATCCTGTCCCCAAGAGCTTGGCAGAGTCACTCTGTCTGAAAAGCTGAGGGATCACATTAATTAAAGCAAGTGGACCTGATTGTGAAAGGTACATCCATCATTCCTGTGCTCATTAAAGAGGTCACATAACCAAGATAAAAAATTCAAATAAAGGTGGTAGGAATTGTCCTAATCTAACAACCTGCAATTAAAAGCAGTAGAGTGAGCTCAATAATGAGGGCACATGTTCACGTTTTGCATACCGAATCATAGGCTCTTAATGAAAAAGACATTAAAGAAAAAATATTTACATCAAGGCTTAATTTACACATGATATTAATAGGATGTTCCATCAGAATTGGTTGCCACACAAACCACATTTAGACGTAATCAAAAAAAAACAACTATAGCATAAATGAAAATGCATTATAGAAGCAGTGAAGGACTGCCTACTCAACGCAATCACTGCATCAAAATGAGCTGCAATTTTCTAAAATGCCCATACACATACATGCAAGACTTGGATTTTGCCCAGTGCCATTTTTATTGAAATTGCATGCAATGGAAAGGGACATTCTCATTCTAAAAGCATTTGATTGGGCAGCAATTTCATATTTCAGACGCATGTGCATTTAATTCCGTCTCAGCTGAACACTCAGACCACAAGAGAAAGATGTAAATGTCAGATGTGAACATGGTCTAAAATAGGTTTAGAAAGGAATCCATTTTATTCAATGCTTGAATTAACAGCAAAAGTTGAACATTGTTTATGAAAAGTTGTGATTTCAAAATAAAATGCTAAGTTGGATGGAATAAGTCTAACGCGAGTCCTCCAGTCCTGAGGTTAGATGTGCAGGTTACACAGCAATCCACTTGTTGTTCAGTGCTGGAATAGTTCAGTTTTCCCCTTTCAACACAGACACCAGCTCACCGCCTTCTAATAGCTCCTGTTTAAATACAAAAACACATTTCCAATCAGTAAAAAATATCTTTACCTGGAGGAATGATCCATCAATAATAAAAAAGAACAAATATTTAAGTGCAAAGAGTGGGGTATATGCACAGCCAGTGTTTCTTCCCATACTGATAATCTTCCAGTGAACAATTAATGTGACTTTTTTAAATTTTATATGGTCCCTTTTACAGCATCGATGCTGTGATGTTACTAAAATGCAATCAGTTAAAAAGACTTCAGCATTCATTTAGTCGGTCAAGCACCGCCAGGATCAGCAGGCAAGCACAGAATTCCATTGAAAATACTGGGATAAAATAAATGTCCATATTTTAAAGGCATGGCTTGGAAAATTTTTAATTTAATGCAGTGTTTCTTTTACAATATGATACCCACTTTATGTCGGACATCAATCAGGCAGTGAAGATTGTTGATTTTTAAAGAAAACAGACCTTAAACGCACTGATTTAATAATGCCATAGAGTTTACCGGAAGCTTTTGACCCAGGTTACTGCAAATTAAAAGTCCATCTGCATACTTCTGCATTTACCCTATTTTGTATTAATAATAAAAATATCTAAATTATATATATATATATATATATATATATATATATATATATATATATATATATATATATATATATATATATATATATATATATATATATATATATATATAATATTACTTGGTTGAATATCGGCTACAATGAAACCTAACGTAATGCCTATGTCTAAAATAAAAACTAAAATATTTAGTACATTTAGGTTTAGAGATGGTAACTGCAATGTTTTTTTTGCCCTCTGCTGGAAAAAAAAAACTACTGCAGGATATTTTTTAATTAAAGGGATAGTTTAAATCATGATCCAAAACCTCTAAGAATTTTCTGAAAATGTTGGAAACTTGTAACCACTGACCTCCATAGTATTTGTTTTTCTTATTTTGGAAGACAATGGTTGTTTTTTCCCCCCAACATATCATCAAAATATCATGTGTTCAACAGAGAAAGTTGAACTTTCTAACTTTATAACCACTTGAGGGTGAGCAAATTACATTATTCTGGCGAACTACCCCTTTAAGCAAGGAAGAATTGTACAGATAAAAAAATATTAGTTTCTTGAACACCAAAAACGACCTATTATTTAGTGCCTAGACAATAATTTTTTAAGTACCAAATCTGTATTAAATTACTAAAGCATTAGAATGATTTGTGAAGGATCAAGTGATGCTGAAGACTGGAGAAATGAATTAATAACAGTATTGTACACTACAACTGTTTTTGCTGTATATTTGAATTACAGTATGCAGCCTTGTTAAAGCTGAAAGGTAGTGCAAACCAGATTTAGTTTTAACATTTGAAAACCCCTTCAAATCTATAAAAATCACCACTCTAAAACCAACATTCCTTAAAAGCCGAATCATAATAAATGCTACATTATTTTTAAACATTATTTTCCTAACTATGGGTTTTATGTGACAATCAGGTACAAGTATACAGATGTAAAAACAACTAATGACTTTCATTTGATTTATTTCACCTTCACAATATCCAGTCCTCCGATTAGATCTCCTTTAACGTACAGCTGTGGGAACGTTGGCCAGTTGGAGTACGTCTTCAGTCCTTGTCTTACCTGTGGACACAATCAAAAATTGCAAAACACACCAACAAAAATAACTATTCACAAAAATAACTTCATTTTTGTTAGAGGTGTAATAGTATGCATGTTCTGTCTTGAACAAATAAGGTGTTCTAACAATACACGTGTGGAGGTTTCATAAGTCAATATCGATTCTTAAAATCACAAGACTGGTCTTTTAGTTTATAGTTTTAATTGAAGCATGAGCACTTTCACTAGACTCACAGCATTTCTTTCAATATTTGCACTGTATTAGCCTTTTATTTGTTAATGACATCTTTATTAGGGGCTGAGCACCGGTGGAGCATAGGCCCTATTGGAATTGACTATTTCTTCTTCTCGTCTAAAATGAATCGCATTTTTGAGGAGTTAAACATGCTTGAAAACTCACAAAAGTATGCACGCACCAGAAGTCACGAAAATCTATCACGTTCCTGACCTGAACACATTAAACCTGCTGACAGAAGGGTTTGGCATAAATCTGTGATTTTCTCAAGTTTTATATATATATATATATATATATATATATATATATATATATATATATATATATATATATATATATATGTTGGACACTTGTAACCACTGACCTCCATAGTATTTGTTTTTCTTATTTTGGAAGACAATGGTTGTTTTTTCCCCCCAACATATCATCAAAATATCATGTGTTCAACAGAGAAAGCTGAACTTTATAACTTTATAACCACTTGAGGGTGAGCAAATTACATTATTCTGGCGAACTACCCCTTTAAGCAAGGAAGAATTGTACAGATAAAAAAATATTAGTTTCCTAAACACCAAAAACGACCTATTATTTAGTGCCTAGACAATAATTTTTTAAGTACCAAATTTGTATTAAATTACTAAAGCATTAGAATGATTTGTGAAGGATCAAGTGATGCTGAAGACTGGAGAAATGAATTAATAACAGTATTGTACACTACAACTGTTTTTGCTGTATATTTGAATTACAGTATGCAGCCTTGTTAAACCTGAAAGGTAGTGCAAACCAGATTTAGTTTTAACATTTGAAAAGCCCTTCAAATCTTTTAACATTTAAAAAGCCCTTCAAATCTATCACGTTTTATATATATATATATATATATATATATATATATATATATATATATATATATATATATATATATATATAGCAGCTTAAATTATTATTGTCCTCTGTCATCTTAAAGCCTGATTTATACTTCTGCGTCAAGTGACTGGCGTAACCCACGGCGTATGCAACGCGCGTGGCTGTGCATTTATACTTCTGCGCGCTGTCTCTGTTGGTCTGCATTAACACTTCTGAAACGCTAGTTGGCAGTGACACAAAACAAAACTATCCATCCGGAGCTCCTTCAGGGGACTCCACACTTGTAAACAATCGCTCGCTCCATTCGCACGGCTCTCAGTCCCGCCCAGACTCGTCAGCGCTACCAAGCCGACCAATCACAGAGCTTGCGCTACGCATGGTTGACGAGAGGTGCACGTCAGTGATGCCGATGGCCACGGCGAAGGGCTGTGCGTCAGCGCTGTAGCATACGCCGGCGTTTGACGCAGAAGTATAAAACAGCCTTAAGGCCACCAGGCAGCAGTGAGCCCGTGCGCGAGGTCCCTTTCATCGCTGCTTGCAGCTTTAATTTTATTTCTATTATTTATTTGTTTATTATCACGCAGGAAAAATGTGATCGTTTCTGTTAATCCACATGAACCTCAATCAACAACAGATGTCTATATTTACACATTTAAAATAGGGAAAAAAAAGATTAAGAACACAAAAAATAATTCAATGAGCACAAATGATAAAGATCACAAACACATAATTATTAGCCCAGTGGTGAAATTGTAATTTTTTCACAGGAAGGGTAATAGTAACTAGGGATTGGAATTGGACATTACCTCCCTATCAAGACTCGAATATATATAAATATATACAGTTGAAGTTAGAATTATTAGCATCCCTATGAATTTTTCTTCTTTTTTATATTTCCCAATTGATGTTAAGCAGAGCAGGGAAATTTTTACAGTATGTCTGATAACATTTTTTCTTCTAGAGAAAGTCTTATTTGTTTTATTTTGGCTAGAATTAAAGCAGCTTTTTAATTTTTAAAAACATTTTAGGGTCCTAATTATTAGCCCCTTCCAGCTATTTTTTCGATAGTCTACAGAACAAACCATTGTTATACATTAATACACACACACACACACACACACACACACACACACACACACACACACACACACACACACACACACACACACACACACACACACACACACACACACACACACACACACACAGACACACACACACACACACACAACTACACACACACACACACACACACACACACACACACACACACACACACACACACACACACACACACACACACACACACACACACACAAACACACACACACACAATTTTTTTTACATCTATAGTTATGCAGTGGCACAGAGTTAGATGCTATTGGTTAAATGCCAGTAAGGTAGAACACGGAAGTAGCTTGAAGCGGAAAGCGCAAGCATGTCTGTGGTCTGGAGGTATTAATAATTTGATAACAACAACATTGCCATAGCAAACAGTGAGATATGTAAACTTAGGATTGTCTGCCAGGTACATTAAGTTGAGGTGCTCCTGGTTTTTATATTAGATTTTTTTATATATTTACTGTTGCACTAAAGTCCAAAAGTGAAGAATTTACACTGTTTATTACTTGATGGTTCAAGCTACCTCACAGAAGTGCTCTGTTTGTAAACAGAGGTGTTGAATGTTAAAATAAGATTAATCAAATATAAAATAAGGAATATCCTGTATCTGATTCTTTACTCTTCCTTATTCTTGTTTTATGTATTATAAATGTATCAGTTCGGGTTTCAATAGATAATTAAAATCAAATGACTTGGACTCAAGGGCAAAAAACCTTGATTGGGACATCCCTAATAATAATAATAATAATAATAATAATAATAATAATAATAATAATAATAATAATAATTATAGAACTAGATGTTAAAAGTATTGCCAATAATCTTATACCTGTTTAGTTTACTTCTATGTCTTTATTTTAAATGCATCTGTAATAAAACATTTTTAACTATGAAATCCAAAGGGTGAATTATTAGATTTCATCATCAAATTAGACTAGCATAGTTTTAATTATTACATTTAAATATAAACTGCTTAACGTCCAATTTACAAATCTGGAAAATACTTTTATGAGTGTTTACTATAGTATCTAAATCCATTGCAAAAGATTTAATTTTATTAATATTATAATAATGTACAAGTAGGTTGCAGCACAAGCTAAAATAGATTTTAGAGCCACACTTAGTTCAATAAGCCGTGGTTTAATAAATGCAACTGAATGTTTTTCCCCTGCTGTGAAACAAAACAACACAAAGTATGACTTCAAAATCAATGTATGTACTGATTTCTTCTGATTTAGAAGAATTTATATAGTGAACAGAACATAAAATAATGATTTACACGTAATTTTAGTCTTAGTATATATAGAGATAACTAGCTTTTGTTTTTGCAAATATAAGCTTCAAAGAGAAGCAACCCACCTCTTCATCTTCCAATATGTCAAACGTATCATATTCAACCCTGAAAGGTTAATAAAAAAAACATCTGTTACTTTAATAACACACATTTACACTTTCAAGAATCCATGAATGTTAATAAAATCCAGTAAAAGGAGCTTTCAGTCTTTGTTAAACTGTACTGCATGTGGAATGGTGAAAAGTCTCTCACCCCGTGTTGTTCATTATTTCAAGTATCTGACGGCTGAATCCACATTTGGCAGCCTGAGTATTCACAAAGACATGAGTTAAGAGGGTGAAAAAAACACACACACGCTACAACGGTTTCATATCATGAAAGGCTGCAGTGAAGAGAAAGGCTGCGCTTGAAAGCCAATCAGAGGAAGCAAGTTTTTAACTCCGCCAAAAACACACGCAGACTAGTGGAAAAAGCTCAAAGAATGGAGTACATGAGACGCGAGCGGCTCCTCTGGGCCCAAACCAAACTTTCATTTAGAAACTTACAACTACAAGCACCTACAAAAGAGATTGTGAAGTGCTTCTCAATAACTACTGGAGAAAGAGGAGTTGATAGAAGAGAGAGAGAGAGAGAGAGAGAGAGAGAGAGAGAGAGAGAGAGAGAGAAGCCGGTCGGAGAGATCTCATGGGGAAACACTTTAAACTACTGCAAAGAACGTCTCTTTCATGTGTGAGTGTTAAAGATCAATACAGTTATGAGGAGAGAGGTGAGGGGTCTTTCTCCTCCATTAGAGAAGGACAATGCAGGTCTATCAGTGCTGGAGACGCCTGACATCGATTTCTACAGCCTGCATTTCTCTTACAGTATGTTAGAGGAACAGTTCATACAAAAATAAAGATCATTTTGTTGTTATTTACTCAGCTTGAAAGGGATATCTCCCCAACACATAGTATTATAAGCTATTCTGTTTTTATAGCCAGTCAGTCATGTGGGTTGGAATTGACTTAAAGGGATAGTTCATCTAAAAATGAAAATATACTCACTATTTATTCTCCCTCGAGTGGTTGTAGACCTTTTAAGAGTTTCATTTTTCTGATGAACACTAAAGAAGATATTAAAAAAATGTTAAATACATGCAACCACTGACTTGCATAGTCAATGGTTACAGGTTTCCAGAATTTTTTTAAATATCTTCTTTCGTGTTCAACAGAACAAATAAACTCAAAGAGGTTTTGAACAAACGAAGGGTAAGTACATATTTAATTTTGGGAGAAAAATCCCTTAAAGGGCACCTATTTTACCCCTTTTACAAGATGTAAGATAAGCCTTTGTTTTCTCCAGAATGTGTCTGTAATGGTTGATCTCAAAATACCTATTAGATTATTTATTATAGTCGCCAGAATCTGCAACATTTTGGTGTCTGAGTTCAGTGTAGCTGTATTTGTAGCCTGTGGCTTTAAATGCAAAGGAACTGCTTCTACTCATGCTTTACATTAGATAAACAGCAGTCAGTGATGGAGACAGACTCAGATGAAGCTGAAATACAGCTAATTAGTCAAAAATACCAAGTAAGTTTATTTGATGTATTTGTGGTGGAGTTTATTCAAGCCTTTCTGAAATGTTGAGTCTCACACAAATAATGCTAATTTAAAGTAATTTCAAACACACATTGCTGACTGGCTATAAAAGTAGAATTATTCACTAATATTCTATATTAAATTTTTTATGTAAATAATAATTAGATTTTTTTGTAAATAATATAATATAAAATATATTAATATAACATTCCATAATAATAGTTTACTTTACATATACTATTATATGCTATATATGTCCTGTTTACTTTGAAATGCATTTTTAAATGTGTTAAATAAAATGAAAATAAAAATAATTTAAAATAGTAGTAATAATATTAATAATAATAAAAAAAATTTCCAGTGTTGGGTTGCGACTGGAAGGCCATGCGCTGGATAAAACATATGCTGGATAAGTTGGTGGTTCATTCCGCTGTGGTGACCCCGGATTAATAAAGGGACTAAGCCGAAAAGAAAATGAATGAATAAATAATACAATAAAACAATAATAAATTTCAAAAAGCTATAAAAAAATATTGAAATATTTTTTTCAGTAAATCACAATACACAACACATAATAATGCTGATGCAACAAAAATAAGATTTTTTAGGTTAATGTTAAATATATGCATCCATATAATGTTCGATATTAATAATATTACATAATATTTTAAAATAAAAATAGAAAATAATTGTAAAAATTTCAATAGAATGAAATAAATTGATCCAAAATATTAATACAATTATCACATTATGCAATATATGGTTTAAACGACACAATTATAGTAACATAATAATGCTTACTATGGTATTTGTGCATAATGATGACGCAACAAAATTATGTATTTCTAAGTTAATATTAAATAAACAAATCCTTATAATGTTTGATAATAATCATATTACACAATATTTTATAATAAAAATAGTAAATAACAATTGTAAAAATGTAAATAAAACAAATTAAATTTATTCAAAATAATAATACAATTATTACATTATGCATTATAAAGTATAAATGACACAATAATAGTAACATAACAATGCTTACTATGGTATTTGTGCAATTTGATCAATAATATTTGTAATGTCTTTTAAGATGCTCTTTGTCAGCTGAAAGATGTAGGTCATCAACTAACTATCCAATGATAAACAGTTATTAATCCATCCTAACAAATTATATGTTAAGAAATAAAACTGAACAAAAGAATATAAAAAATTGGGTCATTTCTTCACTTAAAGCTAAAGTGTCTATAGAAACCCCCTAAAACATATTTAATGGCTTTTTTTATGAAATGTCATATCGTCATGACATTGCTGAATGCAAAAAAAAAAAATCCCTTTGATTTGACAAAGTTGAACATTATTTTTTATCTTTGAGGGCGCCATCCCATAAAAAAAGCCCAGCTTTCTCCTCTCTGAGCTTTAAAGGGAAAAGAAGAGATGTGAAGGAGAAAAGGAGTTCACCCACCTCTTTATTGCCTTTCATGAAGAGCATGACGGGTGATTTATTGATTAGAGATTTCAGCCTGTCAGAAGAGAGAATGTTTAAACGCGTCCAGCCGTACAGAAGCGAGTCTGCATGTATCTGTCTTTACCTGTTTTCCAGAGAGACGGTCTTGGGGAAAGTATTCTCAAGTTCACCAGACTCGACCAGCTCCTGTGGAGGATAGAAAACATCTCAGAATCCCGGCTCCCTTTCAACTCGACACACTCACAAACACACACTTCTTTCATAAGTAACGGCTCCCTGCTGAGGTATTTTACCTCTCTGTAAAGGTAAATTCAGGATCTTAATGAGGACGGGCCTGGAGGACTCCTGAGAGGAGAGCGCGGGAGGAAAGAGGATGGATGCTAGCTAATCTAGCCCTCCTCTCTCAGCAGGGGCGCTCGGCTTGCTTTAAGCAGAATGAGCTCGCTGGGAATGTAGAGCAACGTACAGCTAATAACAGCTAGCCGAGAACACACACGCCGTCAAACGTACTGAAACTCCAACGCTTAACATGATACACATGGGATGGAATGTAAAACATCAAGCGAAGAAATTTGTGTTGGGGAGAGAGAGACAAAATACACTGTGCATTGATACTCGCAATCGATATTGTTTGAGTTTTCACCTTTACAATGTCCAATCCGCCGATGAGCTCTCCGCTGACGTAGACCTGTGGGTAAGTGGGCCAGTTGGAGTAGGTTTTGAGTCCCTGTCTGACCTCTTCGTCTGAGAGGATATCGAAACTGCTGTACTGCACATTGTGGTCTTTCAAAATCTGAATAATTTGACGACTAAAACCTGCAAACAAATAATGAAACAAATAAACCAACACCTGTTATATTTTAAGTGCCACTACAAAGACAAAATAAAACCACTTGTGATTGGTCAGTGCAAATATTTATTTTATATTTTAAGTGTCACTACAAATACAAAAATAAAACCATTTTTGATTGGTCAGTGCAAATTAGAGCTGCACGATATTGGGAAAAACTAACATTGCAAATTTTTAATTCAATGCGATATATATATTGCTATATGAATGCAGTTTCACCAGATGACTTAAATGGCTTGTAAAGAATTCAAAATTTTAGATCGATTTGGATGATTGTGTAGGGGAGCATATCTGCATTAAGTAGAATTTAAAAAATGACAAGCATACAACCACAGACTGTAAAATTTATGGATGTAGTATCCGTGACGTCACCCATAGGTTTCTGAAGAGCGCAAAAGAAGCCAAAGTAGGCGTGGCCAACCGTCGATATTTTGTTCGCGCGTTATCGCACTCACGGCGGGATACCAAACAAGGGCAAAGAGGCGGAGAGTGAGCGGAGCTACAGACACCTGCTGGCACTACTTCCAAACACTTCCGATATAGTCTGTGTTAGTTAATGCAAGACCATTGATGAAATCTAGCATAACACTGTATGATAGCTTTTCAGATGACTGTTCTACAGTCTACATCTAATCAATATGTCAGATTCTGGAGTACATTACAGCTCTAAAGAACATTATAAATGATCTTAAATAAAACAAATACATTTATAGAGATGGTATATAAGTATATAACTTTACTCACATGGGAAACGGAGGCCACGTGAATGGTTTGTGAGCACAATTAAGTGCACACAGCATCCCATATCATCTGATAATTGTAGGAAATAATCCCAAAAGGAAACTGACTGTGTAAAGCCACATAAAACACAACAAAAATATGATGAATATGCCAAAATCAGTGGCTAATCTGCCAGATTCAGCTGAGGTGACGTGACGGCGACAGCAAGACCTAGCTGTCAATCAATTGGCCGCGCCCTTAATTATGCAAACTTAATATAACCTAATATAAAGGAAACTGATGAGTTCACCCCCTCACAGTTGACATGAAGGGTAATATTAGCTTTATGAACCAAAATCGTTCTTTGTACCAGGCTATAAACACCTTTTTTTCTGCTGTAAAGTTGGCCATTTTAACAATGGGCTCAATTGAAATGTTCTCTATTATGGAGCCAGGACTGGCGGATTTTCGATGAATTGCAGTTTCAGTTACTTCCGTATTGGCCTCTCTGAGGGAGAGACTTTAACTAAGTGTCAGCTGCAGCAGTTAGGAGATTTTTTGATGAACGCCCCAGCGACGGAGAGTTCTCATTAAAGGATTCTGCTTTGAAGATACCCGAAAAATCCTCCTGGTTTGTCTTTTCTTTAAATTCATAATGTCACTACAATGCAATGTTATTGTCATGTCATTGTTAAACTACTATAGTTTGCATTCATTTTAATTTATTTCATTTTAGGTTAATAACTTTGCAATTTTGTTGCATTTAAAGCAGTTTTTAATTTAAAAAAAGGTCAATATTAGCCTTTTAAGTCATATTTTTTTCAATAGTCTACAGAACAAACCACTGTTATACAATGACTTGCCTAACTACCCTAACTTGCCTATTTAACCTAGTTAACCCTTGAAATTTCACTTTAAGCTGAATACTAGTGTCTTGAAAAATATCTAGTCAAATATTATTTGCTGTCATCATGGCAAAGATAAAATAAATCAGTTATTAGGAATTCGTTATTAAAACTATTATGCTATTGTTTAATGGTTAAATATTATTGTGGTGTATAATATAATCTATTAATTTAACAAAAGATTATATCTATGTGTTTGACAGATGTCGTTTATAACAATTATTACTAAATTGTTTATTTTTAGATAGCACACAATATCAAGCGAAGCTGGAAACAGAGTCAGAGAATTAAATTCTAGATTCCTGAATTTTAAACAGCAGCTCTGTTCACATGAGACGACTGTAAGCCAAAAATGAGCAGATAAAAGAGAGAGAGAGAGAGAGAGAGAGAGAGATTAGATGGGAGGAGACAAAGACAACAAGACGCAAGAGAAACGGCGCACAAGGAGGAGGAGTGAGCTGCAGAAAGCAGCAAGATCAGGAGAGAAAGAGAGATAGATGTACAAGGTGATGTGTAGAGTCTGTGTAGCCCCTGCAGTAAAACACCCATTTTCATCTTGTGTGGCTCATGAGGGAATTCATTATAAAACAGCTCCAGGCGCCTCACTTGTGCTTATGCATTTGCTGGTATATTAGCTCGACTCTATCAGAGCGGGCAAACAGGCGGGCAGCTGCTTTCTCTGGCTCCGGGCGAACTCCACCAGACATGCTGCATTGATTGCCGAGTTCTTTTCCCCCCTCAATGCCTGCACCTACAGGGGCCGAAGACCGACCGCTCGCTCTGGCCGACTCCGCTCCAGGAGAGGGGCGATGCTAGAGCCTCATTCCTCTTTTGAAGGACAGCCCACTCAGAGCCAGGAAGGCTGAGAGATCTGAATTGATGTACGGACCCTTAACCTTTTAATTTGACATGCATAGCTGTGTTAGAGTTAGTGTTAGCCGAGCACTTGATCATTTGCCGTATTGGAACGAAAGAGCGCGGTTTCGTTCAGAACCCAATGCACGCCACCGACAGGCATGGCTCGCTCTCTGTGCATTATTTCTCCATTTGGATATCAGCCAAGCGAATGAGAACATCAATAAGTTCCAACATTATAATAACTCCGAGCCGGACCGACCCACTGACACCTAGCGTGGCTTCAAATAACATCAGCAACAGGTTTCGGGCTCAGAGACGAAGCAGCGTAAACTCGGAGGATCTTCTATTAATAAAGTAGAGCTGGAGGAGCTGGCAGCCGTTAAAAGCCCAACATCACGTTTGAGATTAGAGTTCAATATGGTTTTTATTTTGATCTCAGGATGGCAAACGCCAGCCTTCCCCCAGACTTTCCTCTTCGCGCAGCCAAAACGTCAAGCGCTAAACTGCGCCTCAGTCCATGACGAAATATGCACTTTGAACCATCAAAAGTATTTTGTTTTGAATGGGTGAAATTAATAGGAGGATGTTTTCCAACGCTGAGCCACGCATCTTTGACATGAGGAGGAAGTGTTAGGAAGAAGGAAAACGCATGCCAGAAAATCAGCAAATCAAACAGAAATCAGCGAGATCAAACTGACAGCCTGGAGTCAAATATAAAAGTACAGAGTAAAGCACGGTTATGTTATTAAGTTGTCACTGTGAAGATTTAACGAGCAGTACTTGGATGTAAAAAGGCAGATCATGTTGCTCATTTGGAGTAACTGATTACCAGCCAATGGTTAACAGAAGTGGCCTTGTGTCAGCATCAAAATCTATAAGCAGCCTTGTAAAAATGATTTTAAATCTAATCTTAAGACGCTCTGTTCAGTGAATGAGCCCTGTGTTACATCTAACTGATTGCACTGTATTCTTCTCCACTTTAAAAATTAAACTTTAATCAGCTTGATTAGTTTTGATGCCATTTCTAGTATTTCTTAGGCTTTTGTTGTGACTATTTTATGATTCTCTTTTATCCTTTTTATGAAAAAGAACTCTGAATTACAATCGATTATGAAATCTGCTATATAACTGAACAGATCATGTCTATTTGAGGGAATTTTAAATAAACATAAATCTTTTTACAGACTGTGATGACGCATTTTACCACCATACATAATTATACATATATGCAGCGGTTCCTGTTCACCACTTTATGTAGATATTTGGCTTAAATTATTACAAGTTTTATTTTAGAGTGCGGGTATATGAAGGTTATGTGAATATATACATATAGTTTAATAATTTTGGGCATTGACTGGTGCTCTTTTATGCTGTGTTGACACCAGATGCGGAAGAAGCATCAAGCGTGAGTGATTTACATGTTAAGTCAATGCAAAGGTGCAAATAGACAACCTGCGGCACAATACCGCTGAATGGCACGGCGCGATTAACGAGAATGTTGCAAAGCAAACGGCACAATACTCGCAAAGAGCATGCCGGGATAGGCCGCGTTAACCAATTAGAAGCTTGCACTTGTGGGGGCGTGACTATGACGTAGCGCCTGTTGATGGTGTCCTGGGGGTAAATCCTCCTGCACACACAGACAACAGTTCATTAAACTGGGCTCGGCTTAGTCAGAAACACCGCTGAAGGCTTCCATCATCCAGGTTAAGTTTTTAGAGGAGTTTATGAGCTCACAGAGCTGGGTGCACCTCTGAAATCTAGTGGACTCTAAGTGAAAGGCTTATCAGCCTTCATAAAGCCCATAAACACAGTTATTTTCTCAGCAACAAATCAGAGTAAAGTGATGTAGTAAGTAAACAAGATTGATGGCCGGTTGTAATTTCGCTACATTTCTCAAATATTTGCAAATTATAATATTTAGATTATTAGGCATATTTGTAGAAGCAAATTCTTCTGTGGTATGCGACAATTACTGTGATAATGGTATTAAATGCTGCTTTTGTCTACACTTTGTGACCGTTGGAAGTTCAGTTCAGAATCCCACTAGGGACGCTTATAATAACCGATTAACTGTTACCTGAATGATGCGTTTTTAACCAATTAATGGCATCAGTTAAATGATAAAAAAATATAATATATTTTTTTAAAGTTTGGCTGCATAAGGGGCCAATCACAGTGAACATACTTTTTTGTGTTAAAAGGGGAATCTTTTGGATGGTTTACTAACGGCTGCGAGCGTTTTGTGGCGCCTTGCGTGCCTCGCGTATTTACCATTGCGCGCTGTGTGGTCGCAGTTGAAAAAAGTCAACTCTGAGCAGAAAAAGTCTTTTTCATTCTTTAAATCAAATGAAAGCAGAGGCGGGGTTTCTGTTGTTTAATGCATATTTTCCGTGTAGCGATCAATTTGAGGTAGCCTGCTATTTTTATTTGACGAAGAAAAAAAACTATGATTAGACAAACAGCATATGCTGGTTCTTAAAAAGAATTCAGTCAGGGATTTCGTTTGTAATTTAAGCGAAAAAATATCTAGGGCTGGGCTATTTATTTTGTTCTTTTTATTTAGTTTATTCTGTTTTTCATGCTGTTGGAAAATGCTGCAGATGCTAAAAGATGTGCTGTTGCACTGAATGCTGTTGTTCACATGTTAAAATAAATCAGTATTTTATAAATGCAATATGTAATGTGTCAGACACAAAATAGACATGTCAATTATTTTTTTTTCATCAAATAATGATTTATATTAATCTGACCAGTTAACCTTTTGTATTCAGTTAACGGGCAGAGGTTGTCTGTTGGCAAAATTAACCAAATTGAGCATCCCTAAATCACACATACAGACAATTCATATTCAACATAAATGCTGATTATCAATAAACTGATGTTCAAACTAAGTGGAGATTCTTAATGCGTTTACAGTCCAAAAAAATGTCCATGGTTTATCCATGGCTGTAATTTGCTCATTATATTTTATGCATGATTCACTTTCCTATATAATCTCCTTACACAATGCAAATTAATATTTTCTTTTCAAAATAGATATAAATAAAAGTTTTTTAGCAATATATAATCACAAAAACTAAATATCACAACGTCAGGTTTTACAATATCATGCATCCCTACCTTAGACATAGTGGCAACGGCAAACATGCCACTTCTTAACTCAAAACTCATGAATAAATGCACTTCCCTCTCCATCCTGTTGATGCAACCTTGATTTGTCTCACTCTATCGCCAACGGTTGCTCTAAGTAAACCCCTGACCCATGTTAATTTATGCGAGTGTATATACGTGTGTGTGTGTGTTTACCACAGCGAGGCTCCTGGGGCGATCCCTTCATGAAGAGCATGCAGGGTGCGGCGTTGATCAGCCTCTTCAGTCGCTGGTTGAGATCCTCTTTAGGGATGTCCCCCGCCCCGACAGCTCCGCCCCCACCGGACCCCAGCCGTTGCACCTTATTGGTCAGCTCAGGGGCATGCGCACCATCCAACCTGTCAATCTTCTCACCGCCCTAAGGGTTGTCGGTAAACAAATAAATAAATAAATAAAAACACTCAGGAGTGAGTAGTGATAGATTGAGAGGGAGGGAGAGAAAAAAAACAGCATTAATTTTTTAGGATGCTTGCCAGTTTGTTTAGATTGTTTGCAGGGAGAGAGAGAAAACAGGCCGCGGGCTCTCCTGGTTCTTTGACGTGTTACGCCAAGAGAGGGAAAGTCTTGCCAAGCCGTGTGTTTGTTTAACCTCCGATTATTTCTCAGTTGCTTGATTCTAACACGAGGAGATTTTGCAGCTCACATTACTTGATCGCTAAACTCAACCTTCCCAACAGGCTCTGTTTTTTCTAACCTTGCCTCCCTCTGCTAAATAAACACAAAACACTATCACAGCATATACCTAACGTAAATAAAAGCTGCGTGTACAGGAGCACCTAGACGCAATCTGGCACTAGTCAGCATACTATATGAAGCAAAAAGAGCAGTGTGATTAGTTCAATTTATGCTATAATAAAATAAAAGAACATAATTTAATTTAAAACTGATCACACATACATATATATATATATATATATATATATATATATATATATATATATATATATATATATATATATATATATATATATATAATTTTTGCTGAACAGTCTTGAACCGTGTTGAGGGTAAAGGCTGATTTATACTTCTGCGTGAAACGTACGCGTATGCTATGGCGCAGCCAACGTGTCAACGCATAGCCCTACGCCGTGGCAAAAAATCTAACTACACGTCGCAACGACCCATAGCGCAAGCTCTGTGATTGGTCGGCTTGGTAACACTGACAAGTCTGGGCGGGACCAAGAGCCGCACAAGCGGCACGAGCCCGATGGAGCAAGTGTTTACAAGTGTGGAGTCCCGTAAAGAACAAAGTTTTGTTTTGTGTTTACCTGATGGTTAAAGTTATTGCACGTTCGCCGGTTCCTGCCTCAAAATGAGCGAGTTTGAGCCGCTTGTAAATCCCGGAAGCGTTTAGAAAGAACAAAACAGCAGCGAAGAAACTAGACACAGAGACACATTAACACCTCACTGCCAACTAGCGTTTTGGAAGTGTTAATGCAGCCCAACAGAGACAGCGCACAGAAGTATAAATGCACAGGTACGCGCGTTGCATGCGCCATTACTTGACGCGGAAGTATAAACCAGGCTTAACGCATTCCAAGTAACGCAAGTTACTTAATAATATTACTTTTCTAAGCAACGAGTAAAGTAACACATTACTTTTAAAATTAAGTAATAATACTTGTTACTTTTTTGAAAATGTAACTGGAGTTAATTTTTTGTTTAGTTAATTAGCTTTTAAAAAATAAATAGCTGCATTAAAATTAAAGTAGTCAAAATGAATCATGCAGTCAATGAGAGAAGGTGTTCATTATTTTGAATGTGTCAAAGCCAAAGGGGTTGTCTCTAAAAACAGTGATTTTATTTAAGACAAATAGTACAAAAGTAGTAAACACATTGCTTTAAACCTTCGATAATCTGAACGGCATGTAGAGCTCTGGGGTCAGGAAGTTTTCAGATAACATTATCCTAAAATATTTAAAAAATTATGTGTTTTTAAAGGCAAATTCAGTCGTAGGTTATACAGTGTGTTGTTAATTGGGGGGCTATTTTTTTAAGAAAAAAAAAACAAGTTCTGAAAGAAATCCAAACTCAGCCAGGTAATAAAAAGTTGCACAAAAGTAACTCAAAAGTAACGTAACACATTACTTACTATAAAAAGTAACTAACACAACAAGTTACTTTTTTGGGGGAGTAATTCAATATGGTAATGCATTACTTTCAAAAGTAACTTTCCCCAACACTGCTCTTAAATTTAGTCATCATTGTGCAAAAGTGCATGCTTATATATATTTTAAAAAGTTTTTCATATTTTCCTTTTTTTATGAAAATGTTATATAAAAACCTTTAAAACAACTTTTTCGTGCTGATGCTGTTGGAAGAGCAAACTGATATAACAATAATTTCATGGCATAACATTTCAAGTCCAGTCATATACAAATAATAAAAATCAGATCACCACTTTTCATTCAATGATTTTTTAATATGTAAAATGGTACATCTAGTACTGGCACTATGCACACACAGCAATAAAGTTGCTGGTAGGTGTATAATCAAAGTGTAAAAATGTTACATTTTGATTAAATAATAATAACAATTAAATATTTTATGTAAAATTAGTTAAGTTGACAAAAATGATAAAAAGGTCTGGGAAGCACACATTTTCAATACCTTAGACATGGTGGCACAACAAGATATGCCACTTATGAAGCAAAAGTTAAATTCACAAATGCTAAAAAAAAAAAAAAAAAAAAAAAACTGATGACCATTGTTCATTTAATTAACTTTTATTTTGTAAGATTGTACATCTAGCACTAGCAATGTGCACATACAGCAATAAGACATGGTAGGTGTATAATCAAAGTGTAAAAATTGTACATTTTGATTAAATAATAGACAAACAAGTTAAAAAAGATGAAAATGAGAAATAAAAAGGTCTGGGAATTCTATTTTGCACACATTTTCAATACCTAAGACATGGTGGAACAACCAGACACGCCACTTGTGAAGTTTGGTTCACAAATGATAACAACCAGATAACCTTTTTTCATTTCTATAATTTTTTTGAAAAATAAATGAAGAAATAAAAAAACTTTGTGCATCGAAAAATTTATTTCATGATGAAATAAGTTGCTGTTTTAGATGCACCATTACATGCTGTACACTGAAAAACTTGTTGCATGCAGAACTGTTGCAAACAATTTATTTGTGTTGAATTTAAACAAGCAAATTAAGTTTATTAATGTTCAACTTAGTTTGTTTGTTTAAATTCCACACAAATAAATTGTTTACAACCACTTAACGTAAAAAAAAAAAAAAATTAGTAAATCCAAGGAATCATCTCTGAATAGTTTTTTTCAGTGCATTTCTGGGTAAAAGCAAAATAATAAAACTTAGCTAACAAAATTTAGTTTTACTTAATGTAAAGATTTAACATCTGCATAAAATCTCAGAGTCAAATTGTTCTGAGATAACTCAACTGAAGACCTTTAACATCCTGCATAGGAAAGTATCAGCAAAAAAATGGAAAAAAAAGGAAAAATGTACACATTAGGGTGCAAAAGTTTAGAATCCGCAATATTCTTTATAAAAATAAATGAATGCTTTTACACAGCAATGACACATATATGTAATTAAAAGAGGAAGACATTTGTAATGTTACAAAAGTCATCAAATACATACAATTTTAAAATATATATTCTCAAATACAGACAAATAAGAGTATTTGAAAGATCATGCGACACTTTGACCTCACAGGAACATAAACTAAAAAAGTGCAAACCGTAAATAACAATATCTTCCCATTTGACAATTGACAATGACAAACTCCTACTCTCACAAATGTAAAAATGACCTAATTTTATTATATAAATATATATAAAAACTAAATAAACAAATTAAATTTGAAGGTAAATCTGAGCTCTGCTGAAGTCAAATGTAAAAGATTTACCTTGAAGAAGAGGAAGGTGGGAACTGAAGTGATCTCATACTTCTCCGAAACCTCCGGGACTGCCTCTGCCTCCAGCTAAAGAGAGAGAGAGAGTCAGAGAACTACTGTACTAATGACTCTTTATAATTCACATTAATAAAACATCACACACATCAACATGTCAAACATAACTCACACGGTGACAGCTGATCTGCATGCAAAAACCCGATTTAAGACAGAAAAACATTTTACAATGGACGAGAACTAAACATGACACACTTAAACTTTACTAGCTCAACTTTAAGATGTAAATTAGATGGTCACAGACACTGACAAACAGTAAAAAAAGGGTCTGAACTATGTCTTGTCACGATATCTATTTTTGTTGTACGATATATTGCACCAAAGATATATTACGATTTATGACATTATTGTAACTTTAAGATCATTTTACACCACTCTTTATAAAACACCTGAATAAAATATAATATCATCACAATGCAGGACACGTTTTCAAACACATCATACTTTATTTGTAAGAATATTTCATTTAATTATAGTCATTTTAACAATTTAATAATCAGGCATTTTGAATCAGAATGTGAAAATGCATATACTAAATAAATAATAATAAATGTTAACAAAAACATTTGCAAGGTAGAAAGTAATAGAGGCTGCAGTACCTCTTACCAGATCTACCAGATCTACTTTTCAGACACCAACATGAAAATATAATATAGTAATTTATAGTAAATACTATACTGTTTTTTAATCATACTGACATTGACGACATTTATTGACATCACCAAAAATGATTAAGGTCATGTCCATGTGTTGTGCAATAAGTCCATATATTGATTATTGTGACGGGCCTAGTCTGGACAGATTTTAGTTAAATTGGTTTTTAATGATAACTCCTTTAAATGGATGGTACACTTAAAGATAAAACTTCATGTTCCAAACCAGTTGAGGTTTATATATTTGTGTGTGTGTGTGTGCGTGTGTGTGTGTGTGTGTGTGTGTGTGTGTGTATATATATATATATGTGTGAGCCAGAGAACTACTGTATACACACACACACACACACACACAAACACACACAAACACATATATATATATAAATATATACAAACACACACACACACACACACATGCATACATATATATATATACACATACACACACACACACACACACACACACACACACACACACACACACACACACACACACACACACACACACATATATATACATATATTCTATTATGGAAGTTGATAAGGGCTGGACAATATATTGTTTCATCATCAATATGCATCCGAAATAGTCATATCGTGAAGCTGCCTTTCCACTGCAAACGACATTTGCACACGACTGTCGGAACGCGCCGCCTTGTGGCAGTCGCACAGAATTTTCAGTTTTGTCTTGCACCATAGGAGAGAAGCTGTTCTCGCAGTGTCCGAAATAAAGGAGTGCAAAAGCAAGAGCCTTTAATCTCCGTGCGTTTACCATGGTTGAATGAATGAATACTAGAAACTCAAAGAAAGCTAAAACTTTTGAAGGGAATATGGAGACCACATTAAAACATAATATTTTTATTACTCACTTATAAATAGAAAAGTTATATATATATATAAATGTATATGATATGTATTGTCGTCTTTCAGGTTGTATCTCAAATTTAATGCACTTTTTAAATAAATAAATAAAAAACAAAGCAGCTGCTTGCCATCGCGACAGCAATAAGATCCAATGGAGAGCTGATCACTTTCACTCCAAAATGGTGGAACGTGTTGCAATGGAACGTTCTATTGAGTGTCGTCTCTTGGTCATTCTAAGCTCTTTGTCTCACGTGCACAGACCTGCATGGACAACACTGGAATACATCACATCTGGTCGACCGGGCGGTCGCATACGATCTAGTCACAGGAGTTCAAATATTTTTAACGATCCGCAGCTCAAATCGGATACAAATTTTCCACATACAGAGATGATCGGAACTCCACGCAGATCCCGGACTACTCTCCATTGGAATTTTTTTTGGCGAACAACTGTTTTTCTTATTTCAGTTTTTGTTTAATATAGAAAGCACACAGCATATGACTATATTGTAAAAAAAAAAAACGAATTGCGTCAAATAGTGCTATTCAAACATGAAACTGTAATCATATCCCAATATTTATTGCAGAAAAATAAAATATTGCAATATCAGATTTTTCCAATATCGTGCAGCCCTATATTACGAGTTTGCAACATTCCTCAAAATATCTTCTATTAGTTCAAAAGAACAAAAAAAACTTTTTTGTGTGGACTATCGCTTTAAATTAAAGCTTTAATTACCTTTATTAATAACCTAATTATTGCAATAATTCTTTCTAGCAATAACAAATCTTATAAATGAATGAAGCGATCAAATTCTAAAACACCTCAACCATTTAAACCAACATAATTCATTCCTTGTGAATTATAAAAGGGCAGTTGTTGCTTGAAGAGCTTCTCTGCTCGGTTGGCTCTGTGATGAAAGGCAGTATTAACCCTTGACAGAAGGTAAAAATTTCTCAGTGACGGTTTAAGGCCACGAGGAAGGTAAAGTCATTTGCAGCCTGAGGGCCTGTGCTCCGCTGGGATCTGGAGCAGAGGGAGGAGAGCAGCTCAGTGTGTGTGTTACTGCAGCTTCAGCCACTTCACCATAGCCCAGCGTGCACAAGACACATTTACAAGAATAATGATCGTCTTCAAACAAGCATCTCAAATAGCTGGTTAGACAAACAGAGGTTCTAATCCTCCCTGAAGTTAACATGCATTTTGATAACCATTTTTTTGCATCACTAAAATGCATTACAATTTCCTTCTGGGATGCCTCTCTTGTGACCATTCAAGACCTGGTTTCATCACAATCCACATCGTTCTTATGGAAGCGCTCAATTTGATACAAGAGCAGTACTGAGTGCAACAAACTCATCTCATGTGCTTACAAGTGAATGGGAAAGCTTGTTGTGGTGCACTCTCACATGTCCTAATATTGATGATATTATATAGGGTAAAAAAAAAAAAAGAGTAAATTTTTTAGTAGCAGTTTGAGGTTCTACCTGAAAACTCAACCAATGGGAAAATCTATGGCGTACACTTGCATTTTGCTTTTTTTTTTTCCTTGTCAATCAAGAAAATCTCAGTGGTAATGGATAAGATCATCATAATTAGCTAACTGCTGGAATCTCATGTGAGTGACAGCCTGATTGGTCCTGACCCGTACAGCAAATGGCATCACAGTCAAGAGATGTTGCTGTTGTTAAATAAAAGATTAAAAGCTCACATAGAAAACAATAAATTAATCTTGTGGAGAAAAAGAGCAATAATTAGTAAGTTATGTGGATTTATTTAGCATATTTTTCATTTCTGGGGGGTGGGGGGTCTCTCCACACCATATTAGAGTGCAGCATCCACACACCAGTTATATGTGGAGTGGAGAGAGAGTGATACAGCCAATTCGGTGGATGGGGATGATTGGGAGGCCATGATTGTAAGGGCCGATAGAGGGAATTTGGACAGGACACCAGGGTTATACCCCTACTCTTTAATTATGAAAAGAGCCATGGTATTTTTAGGACATCGGATTAACATCTTATCCAAAACATGGTGCCCCCTGACAGTTTGGTGCCCCCCCTCACTTTACTGGGGTATTAAGACTCACACAGACTGCAAGTTGAGCCTTATTAAAAACAGCAATCTTCCAGAATAAAAAAAAATTAAAAAAAAAAATAAAAAAAAAAAAATATATATATATATATATATATATATATATATATATATATATATATATATATATATATATATATATATATATATATATATATATATATATAGATTAAACATCTATTATAAGGAAATTATACAACTTAAAATCCCTTCACTGTATAAAATGACCATTCATTTGTTTATTTTTGATTGGCTTAATTTTAACCTTACTTAACCCTAAGTACAGATTTGGCTTATTACCTTTTTTGGTTATGAAATTTGTTTTATTTCTATGTATGTATGTGTGCATATGTATATGGCTATGTGTGTGTGTGTGTGTGTGTGTGTGTGTGTGTGTGTGTATGTGTGTATGTATGTATATCTGTGTGTTTGTTTATATGTGTATATGCATATATGTATGTGTGTATGTGTATGTATAGATGTATATGTATATATATATGCACTAATTTATTTTATTTGTCATTTTTATTTGCGTCAGTATGTCCTTGTCATTATTCTTCAGTTTTTCCCTTTTACTGACAATATTGTTGTCATGGCTGGCGCTATTATTAATACTATTATTTAACAACTTGTATATTGGTTTAAATATGTATCTCTACACATTTTGTTTTATGCTGATTGTCTACGGCATGTTTTTCTGTGTTCCAAAAAGACAAAATAAAAGAAAAAATTTGTTGGAATAAAAAAAAGACCATTAATTACGTGTTTCCCGTACACAAACATTTTCTGTTATACCGTTACTAAGGTATATGCAAGTTCAACAATGTTATTTACTTAGGCCAAACAGTATCTCCAGCAGTAAAGAACCCAGCAAACATTTGACAAATCATGAAAACTTATGCACTGACATCCAAGCATGCTATAGACCGAACAGTGCTGTAAAGCATTCTATGGGGAAAAGGTTGTTGTTTTCTACACAGAAATTTCAAAAGAACTTATTATAGAGTAGTAACCACAATACAGAGAAACCATGATATTTTTATCCAAGGTTATCATATGATCAGAATCTTATGCCGGCCCATGCCTATAGTTTGTTTTCTCTAATCATTTACTTTTTGAAATTGCACAACAGGAACTTGATCTCTGCTAAAAGAAGTTGAAAACTAAATAATAGTTTCAATAATAACTTTATTGACATTTTAGTAGTTTAAAACAACTTACCATTTGTTTGTCATGGAAATTACATTCCAAAAACAATTCAGTTATTTTAAAAATTAGTTATCTTAAAAATATGTTTCTAAAGAAATTACGGAGAACAGGGTCCCATAATGTTATTTAAGAGTGTAGGTAAATTAAAAAAAACTGATTTATTCTAAACCAGGAGTGTACCAACTTGTTCCAAACAGTGTCCTGCATAGTTTAGTGCCAACTTCCTTTAACATACCTGCCTGGAAGTTTCTAGTATACCTAGAAAGAGCTTGATTAGCTAGTTCAGGTGTGTTTAATTGGGGTTGGAAATAAAATATGCAGGACGGCAGTCCTCAAGGACTGAGTTTGGACACCCCTGTTCTAAAACACATCATAATTTTACTGTCAAACTGGCCAAATATCAATTAAAAAGAATCATTTTACAATGAGAACCAAAATGATTAAAACATGGTTTTGGCGGTTTCTACAGACAAACAGACAGACATGTCAATTTACATTTACATTTACATTTAGTCATTTAGCAGACGCTTTTATCCAAAGCGACTTACAAATGAGGACAAGGAAGCAATTTACACAACTAAGAGCAACAATGAATAAGTACTAAAGGCAAGTTTCAGGTCTGTAAAGTCTAAGAAGGGAAGTATTAGTAGTTTTTTTTTTTTTTTTTTTTTTTGTACAGTTAGTGTGATATTCAAAGAGGCAATTGCAGATTAGGAAGTGAAGTGGAGACTAAATAGTTGAGTTTTTAGTCGTTTCTTGAAAATAGCGAGTGACTCTGCTGTTCTGATGCAGTTAGGGAGTTCATTAATTTAATATTAATTTAATTAGTTAATTTCTGGAGATGTTGTCTTCTACTAATGATACATAAAACTACACTGACATTCAACTACAGTTTACCCAAATTTAACTTTGATGCAATTAGAAAAAATGATTTCCAGACAATGAACTATATTAATAATCAATGGTTCCCATACCTTAACAAACATGGTGTGTTTGTGCTCTTTGGCCAATTCCGCCATCACATCGTTCATCTGCGAACACTGCGGTGCCCATGGCGCATGAAAATGGACAACGGTGAGGGACCTAAAATGAATAAAGTGTAGGAATAATTCAGAATGTAATGTGGAGATGACATGTAAAGTCAACATATTACAACTTAAGTAATGACCAAACAAACTAAGTCTACCTAAAATAATATGTCTAATTTGTCTTTAAGATGGCGCTTTAAACACAAAGTGTCTTTCAAAGTGTGTTTTTGGGGGTTAAGTGCTTCACACAAAAATAACTAGCAGTTCATATACACTCAAAAAAGGCATTTGCTGTTTGTTCAAACTACTTATTTAAATTGAGCTGAAACACAATTCTTGAGGTTTTTACTACATTGTTTTATGTTCAGGGCGGCATGGTGGCACAGTGGGTGGTGATGTCGTCTCATAGCAAGAAGGTCGCTGGTTCGAGCCTCGGCTGGGTCAGTTGGCATTTCTGTGTGGAGTTTGCATGTTCTTGCCAGGTTTGCATGGGTTTCCTCCGGGTGCTCCGGTTTCCCCCACAGTCCAAAGACATGCGCTATAGGTGAATTGGGTAAGCTAAATTGTCTGTAGTGTATGAATGAGTGTGTGTGGATGTTTCCAGTGATGGGTTGCAGCTGGAAGGGCATTCGCTGCGTAAAATATATGCTGGATAAGGCGGTGGTTCATTCCGCTGTGGCGACCCCTGATTAATACAGGGACTAAGACGAAAAGAATATGAATGTTTTATCTTCAATTAACTAATATTGTAAAAACTATTAAGTTAACTTAATTCCTTCATGTTGCCCCAACACAAATTGATTGTGAAACCCAACTTTTCTCAGTTTATGAACACTTGTTAACTTAAACAAGCAAAGATCATGAACAAATGTCTGCATATCAACAACAGATCATAGAGGTAAAGTTGGTTTTATAGTCACACATTCGGACTTTCCTCTTAATAATATAATTTCATAATAGTATTATTTGCAAACTCTAAATAGCGAAATCATATTAGCAGCCAATGACTATCAAGGTACAACATTGTTCACAGTCAAATAAACAGTGTTAATGTTGTTTTCAAGTCATGCATGCTAACTCTGATCGAAAATTCAAAGTAACATGGTAAACAATACAGAGACTTATGCTTCTACATTTTCAGTTTGGTTCGTCATTGAAATCTCGTAGATCCTGTTTGTCTGGTATCGGAGTCACATAACTATATGCACAAACCAATAATTAATTAGATGATTTGTTGATAGAGGTAAAGTCGGTTTTGTTTTCGAAAATTCTTTCATTTAGAAGTCTCTATATTGTTTAGCATGTTACTTTGAATATTTGATAGGAATTAGCATGCAAGCAAGCATGACTTGAAAACAACATTAACACTGTTTATTTGACTGTGAACAATGTTTTACTTTTGATAGTCGTTTGCTGCTTATATGATTTTGATATTTAGAGTTTGCAAATAATACTTTTATGAAATTATATCATTAAGGGGAAAGTCCGAATGTGCGAATATAAAACCAACTTCACCTCTATGATTTATTGAGGTAAGGTTGGCTTTATATTCGCGATCAATTACATAATAAAGAAGAATTTAAAAAATTATAACACACATTAATTACAGAGTCGTACTATTATGAGCACATAGAGACAGCGTTTGACACGGTCCCTGTATTGTTTACCACGCTTCATTGAATATATGTAACGTTAACGTTACATACGACTGTAAAACATCATTAGCAGCACTATTACATTAACTGTAAACAATGTTGTATCATCATCATACAATACTTTTCTGAAAAAAATATTAGGAATATGAACGTCTGAATGTACGAATACGTGAATACAAAACCAACTTTACCTTAATAGTTTAACTCAGTAACGTTAACTGTGTGTTGGTTTAACGTTAGCCTAGCGTTAGCGGTAGCCGGTTATGTTTATATATTCGCTATATAACGTTACTTTTGAATTCAGTATTGATGACAACAACAATACGTGACATCTAGTGCTTACTACTATGTACAGATTGATTTTTATACATGTAATTCGAGCTATACACGTCTAATTGTGAGAACAGGCTAACAATATTATGCATAACAATGACAGATATTTTAAGAACAGTAATCATTCATCAATGGACCACAGTCGAATGTGATACATATTCAAAAAGATAAGTCAGTGGTCTTATGATCTAGAAACAAATGCAATAATATAGATTATTGCCACAATTAACATTATTTGTGCTTCTCTGAATAGGCCATCGGTTATTTAATTCTGTTCGATCAAAAGGGCTTCTGTTAACACCAAGAACATGTGTTAAATTGGTTAAAGAGCTGTTTGACATCCAATATAATTCATTGTATAACAGATATTTCGTCAATAATTGCCTTACTTGCTGTTATTTTTTAATAATTCGTCAAACTGCTGCAGTGATGCCGCGTCCGTGAGGTTTGCCATGCTGCCAGACTATACTAAGCGATCACAGAATCCTCCATCAGGGCACCGTACTGAAGCCAAACATTACTAAGCCATACACGATAGCACAAGCATCGAACACTTTCCCACAAGCATAGAAATACAATTGTGCATTTAATGTTTAAGCCCCTTTAAGCCAGTTTCTCAGAGTTTAAATTGAAATATATGTGACATAAATGACCTGAAGTGAAGCACATAAGTCTCTTTTGATATATAGGCTACACTTTAATAAAATTCCAATGACGTGTAAATTAATTTTTATTTATTTATTTATTTATTTATTTATTTATTTATTTATTTATTTATTTATTTATTTATTTATTTATTTAATTATTTATTTATTTATTTATTTTAATTGTATTTTTTAATTATTAATAACATGAGTAACAGAGAATACATTAATTTGTGCTAATTTTGTGTGACCTGAATACAAATTATATTCATTGTACATCTACATGACTGATATAAGGGAAAAGGGAAAAAAAAACAATAGGCCTACCTGCTAGAAAAACAAATATTTAAAGAAACCAAAATAAACAAAATATGAATAAATTTAAAATATATAACATATTGTCCATTTTCTTACAATCTGACTCCCAAATCAAAAACAATAAAATAATTGTTTTAAAATCAAAAAGTTTTTTGTAAGCTGAGAACACAAGCCAAGATATTTCTATCCAAAATTGTTCTACAAAATTGCATTTTAAAAATATATGCGCTATTGTTTAAAGATTAGAATTACAAAATGTGCATTGTGAAGAATTGTTTACATTACATTTACAAAGTAAAGAATTACAGGGATAGTAATTATGAAGGATTCTAAAATAAAGTTCTTTCATCTTATTAGACACTAAAAACTTATACCAGGCTGAATTTTAATGGTGGACAGAACTGGGTAGTTAAATTTCCATTTCTAAGAAGCTTTCGGGTACAAGCTAGACTTATTAACAAAATTTCTTCTATTGTACCAATTATTACATTTAATATTAGTAATTTCCACCCCTCCAATAGCTAATTTAGGCATTTCACATTTTAAGTCTGTATAAGCACAGGTTCTAGTTAAAGAAATACATTTTATGACCCAATCATATGGGCAAAATATCCCTTCCATAAATTGCAGAAAACTCAAAGTAAAAGTAAATTTTACTGTCCTTTTTTTTAATAAATCTAAAATAAAAAATATTCCTCTGTGCACCCACAATTTGATAAAAATAGATTTTTTACTCCGCAGCACATTTCGATTATTTCATATTATAGATTTGTGAGGGGAAACATTGTGGCAGAATCCAAGCTTACTTGCTTCCAAAGCTTGTTTGTGAAAATTAGCAAGTTTGATAGGGAGTTTAACAGCTAAAATCACAGGCTAATAAAAAATGTAGACCTCCACATTAATCAAATATAAATTTAGGAATATAAAACCATAAAAAAAAGTTGGGTCAGCTTTCAGGCAACGTTTAATTCACCCAATTTTAAAAACCTCATTGACAGTAGTAAAGTCCAAAGCATTTACCCCTCCCTCTAAAATATTTCTTCAATCATTCATTTATTCATTCATTCATTTTCTTTTCGGCTTAATCCCTTTATTAATCAGGGGTCGCCAACTTATATGTTTTACGCAGCAGATGCCCTTCCAGCTGCAACCCATCTCTGGGAAACATTCATACACACTCATGCACTACGGACAATTTAGCCCACCCAATTCACCTCTACCACATGTCATTGGACTGTGGGGGAAACGGAAGCCCCCGGAGGAAACCCACACGAACGCAGGGAGAACATGCAAACTCCACACAGAAACGCCAACTCACCCAGCCGAGGCTCGAAACAGCCACCTTCTTGCCATGAGGCGACAGTACTACCTACTGCGCCACTGCGTCGCCCACAATATTTCTTCTAAAGTAAAATATATTAACGTAAATAACTTTGCTAATGCTAAACCCTAAGCCAAATTGAGAACAATTGATAAAATAATGTCTCTATAATTTTTTTAATAAAGTAAGTAACCGTAGGCCATAGATGACGCATGCTCATGGTTTGTATGCAATATCTAGTGTATATCATAGATATTATATAATAGTTAATATCTATTATGTCTATGGTGTATATATCTATGACGTTAGGCCAAATGTTTTCCTCTGACATGTAGTTAGTTTTGTTTATTTTTCTATACATGTCCTTTCTATATATGAGCAATTCCAGCGTTATGGGTGTGACATTTGCAGGAAAAACTCGAAACATAAATTCACATAGAAAGTATATGTTAAAATTATATTGAAACTTTTGTTTATATTTTTCAAAACTACTGACCTCAGAGTTAGGAGAGCAGAAAAAACATCAATCTGTAAACATGTTTTGTACTTTAAATGAGGAAAATAAACGTGTTATGGATGTGACAAAAAAGTCTGCGGGTTTGCAGTGTACAACATACTTTGTAGAAATTCTGTGAATAGGGTATATGCCGAAGCATGCTAATAAGACTTGCCAGTAACCTGGGTTAATCGTTTCCAGTGAATTGTACGCCAATGCAAAATCAGCGTTTTTAAGGTCTGTTTTCTTTTTCTTTTTCTTTTTTGTATTTAAGGTTACATTACAACATCGATGCTGTAAAAGGAACCATATAAAATGGAAAAAAACTCACAATAACAGGTCACCGGAAATTTATTAGTATATGGGTAACGCACCAGCTCGGTATATACCCCATTATGCACAACCCAAACTATTCAAAAGGATATAAGTTGGCTCTATATAAAAAAATGATTGGTTTTATTTTATTTATTATTTTCACATTTATGAGGGAAAAGTGTCGTTTTGGATGTGACTGACATCTCTCTGTTATGGATGTGACAGGTGTAAATTGCCACGTGTGACTTTGGTAACTCAAATAGAATCGTTTGAAAACATTGACAGATACATTTTAAAATACTTAAATACTTTAAATACTTTAAAATACTTGCTTACACAAACAAAAAAACCCAGAAGCGGTTTCCGTATTTTGGTGAAAACTTTTTTTCATGGCAATGTTGACATTTGCATGGAATTGCTCATATATATTTTTGTCTCGTATGTATTTTGCAATAGATATAGTTGAATTAATTCTTGAAATAATAACTTCACATGTGGACAATAATAAAACGACAGAGCGAGAGCACATTTATTTTTGAGGTGAACTATTCCTTTAAATAACATTGGTCGACTCATTCGCGCTCCGTACTCCGTCGTCCAATAATAAGCCTCTATTTGATTTAGCCCGCCTATGTTACCTCGTACTGTTCACTGATTGGCTGACACAACTGTATGTTACTCATCTTAAAAGATACAGGAACTGTAATGTGAAATAAAACCAGGACGGACGGGGAGACAGCAGCAGCAGCGGCTTTGTTTTGTTATATAAGTCGGGTATATTTAGAGTAGCTTGTTGTGTTTATTATATATTGTATAATATTTGTGCAGATGCCTCATTGGTCGATAGATAAGAGTGCACGGCGAAAACAATGTTTTTTTGACTTTGCCTATTGATCCATATTGGAGTTTTAGTCGGTTTGTATTAACTTAAAGGTATAAGGATAGTTTAAAACAACAAATAAATAAACAATGGATTGCATAAGTCCCATGCAAAATAAGAGAAGGCACAGTGGAGAGCTCGAACAGTGGCACAACCAGCCGGTAAATTATTTTATATTTACTATTATTAAAATGCACTAAATCCTACTTGTTTCTTTAAAGATGTTCAAAATATGTCCACAAATGTGTCTTGTAACTGCTTTAGATGGCATTTGTTTGACCTCCTGTCACTTTCCATGGACTGTTGGCCTTTTAAAAAGAGTTATGAGTTATTATTAGTGCTCATATATAAAACACCCAGCTGATCATGACTGGAAATAGCTGTTATGATTTATAGAAAGAGTGTGCACTGTGGTAGGACAGCTGCATTTGCTCTCATTGACATCTTATTGCGTAATCAAGCCATGAGTAGTGTGATGGATCTTAAAATCTGAATTTCACAGAAAAGGCAGTGTAATGGACTGGGAGGCTGTGGGCAGCTGGAATACAGTGTGGTGGTGGACACTCCAATGGACACGTGGGATGCCCCAAATCACAGCTCACAGAATGGACACAGTGCCAATGTCCCAGTCATGGTATACTTACTGATTCTAGTGTCATGTGGAAACAAACCTTAGAAGATCCTAAACAGATGTTTTATTTTATAGTCCAAAATGCAAATAAATAACTTTTTAATTGATTCATTTTTTTTATTACATTTAGTTCTTATGTCTTCTGTTGCAGGGGTATATTTTTGGTAATAAAATGCATTGTATGAGTCAAAATCACAAGTTTATGATGTAAAGATCATGTTCCATGGAAACATTTAGTAAATTTCCTACTGAAAATATAAAATCGCTTCGATTACTAAATGTGTATTGCTAAGTACGTAATTTGAACAAATTTAAAGGTGTTTTTTATATATTTATTTATTTATTTATTTTTTTACTTTTTGAATCCTCAGATTTCAGATTTTAAATAGTTGTATCTCAGCTAAAATTGTCCTTTAATTAAACAAACTATAAATCTACGGAGAGCTAAATTGTTTAGCGTTAGCAGATCATTTTTAAGATACTTATAAATGGTTTTGCGGTTACAAATTACTTTTTATTGAAATCTATATAATATTCATGCATCAAATATGCATGCAATATCCATTTGGACTAAAATCTTTAAGGATTATATTCAAATTTTAATTTATTTTTAAACTACAGAGTTGGTATCTCACTGTTCTTACCATGCATTTCCCTCCTCTAGTTAACAGTGTTGTGATCAACATGAATGTTATATTGCTCTTATCTGATGGTCTTGTGTTTATGGAGCCTGTGGAATGCGGAGTGGAGGTCACGGACTGTTTGATGGTCTGTTTTATTGCATGGCCTCTCGATTTTAATTTATTTTTTAGCTGATTGGAAGATTTTAAACAAGAGCCTCAGAACAGTCAAAACAATAAAGGTGTAATACAACTCCCCCCCCCCCCCCCATACATTTTAAAATGCCCTGCTTATTTTATTCTTTCCTTTTACCTGAACAAAATAAAAAACAATTGCCCTTGTTTACAGGAGGAACCCAATAAAATGTTTTATATATTACAATTATTGACAAATTATGTGATGACATATTACACATATAGTGCACAGTGCGGTCCCCAAATACTTATAATATATTAGTTGTCAACTTATTTTTCTTTTTTTTCTTTTTTTTTTTTTGTAAAGATTTTGCCACTATTCTTCAGACCACTGGTTTTGCCATGGTTTTAATCATTTAGTATAATCGCTTGTTATTTTATCTGTTTTAAGAAGTACAGGTCAGATTATTCTTGTTGTTTCATTTTTGCATAACATATCTGATTATGGGCGACGCAGTGGTGCAGTAGGTAGTGCTGTCGCCTCACAGCAAGAAGGTTGCTGGTTCGAGCCTCAGCTGGGTCAGTTGGCTTTTCGTGAGGAGTTTGCATGTTCTCCCTGTGTTTGCGTGTGTTTCCCCCGGGTGCTTCGATTTCCCCCACAGTCAAAGACATGCGGTACAGGTGAATTGGGTAAGCTAAATTGTCTGTACTGTATGGGTGTAAATGAGTGTGTATGGATGTTTCCTACAGACGGGTTGCAGCTGGAAGGGCATCCGCTGCATAAAACATATGCTGGACAAGTTGGTGGTTCATTCTGCTGTGGCGACCCCTGATTAATAAAGGGACTAAGCCAAAAATAAAATGATTGAATGAATATCTGATTATTTTGCTTATATTTAGATATTTGAGAAACTCGTTTATTTAAAAGATGTTTCCACCCCATGAAAATGTGTGACTTATGGGAATAACCATACACAATCAGTGAAGGATTTGCTCTTTGAATGCATTAATAAGCATTTTTAAAAAACCTATACAATTTGAGGTGACATTCTTCTACTCACCGTTCAACCATCAACTTCAGCATTTCCACAGCGGTGTGACAGATGTGTAAAAAGTGTCATGTCAATATAACAAAAAAAAAGATTTCTGCCAATTTGACAACATTCCAGTAAAACACAACTAATTGAGATAAAAAATAAATAAATTAGACTTCCATTTTAAGGACACATGCATGAAAAGAAATCTGGAAAAATACACTGAAAGATAATAATAAGTGAGAAATTTAGGGAGAAAACTTTGATTCTCAACCCTCAAACACACAGTATGTATAATCCTTTTTGTCATTGTTACTAAATAAAACGATCAGAACAAGAAAAAAATCAAAGCAATGGACTTAAAAAATTCAATTCAATTCAGCTTTATTTGTATAGCGCTTTTACAATGTAGATTGTGTCAAAGCAGCTTCACATAAATGGTCATAATAAATGGATCAGTGTAGTTCAGTTTTTAGTGTTTAAGTTCAGTTCAGTTCAGTTTAGCTCAGTTCAGTGTGATTTAATCATTACTGAGAGTTCAAACACTGAAGAGCAAATTCATCGATGCGTAGCTTTTCAGATCCTGAACCATGCAAGCCAGTGGCGACAGCGGAGAGGGAAAAAAACTGCACCAATAGGAGAGTGAAGAAAAAAAAAACCTTGAGAGAACCAGACTCAGTTCGGCACGACCATCTTAATTTCTCCACTGGCCAAAAGTCTTGTGCAGAGCTGCAGTCTAAGCAGTGGAGGCTGGAAGCTGGCCTCAGCGAAGACTGAAAAAATTAAGTTAACTTAGAAAAAATAACTTTCCATGCATACTCTTTCTATACAATGCCATGCTAAAATTCAAGCATCATATTACTGATGTAAGTAACAAGTGGGTCAACATAAATACAATCAGATACAATGAAAGTAGTTCTACAAAAAATGATGTTTGTTCAAACTACTTATTCAAAATGCTTCGAAACAACACAATTCTTGAGATTTGTTTTGGGACAACCTGATTGTTTTATATTCAATCCACCTAAATTTGTAAAAATAAGTTAACTTAATTCAATCATGTTTTCCCAACACAAATCAATTGAGTTAACACATTTAAGTGAATTGAACATAAAACAATTAAGTTGTCTCAAAACAAATCTTAAAAAATTGTGTTGTTTCAGCTCATTTTAAATAAGTAGTTTGACCATTGTTAGAATGTATTAACCATGTTATTCTTCTAGCTTGTTGATTTAACCGTGCACATCTGTGTGTTATTCTGATGTCTTTGGGCTTGTCAGCAGGTGTTAAACGCCCCGGGACGAGCAGCAGGACAGCATTGCTCCAGGTGTATGGCTGGAGAACCTGTGAGTAATTCTTCTGTGTGGATTACAAATACCACTCAATTCTTCTTGTATGTCATTCGGTTAAAGACTTCGACGAGAAAAATTATGCGTGGATAACCTGACACTTTTTATAATATGACACATTCATCAATTTCTTTCAGTTTTTTTACACCACACACACACATTCAATTTACCTGGAGCACTTTCACCGGACGCCGTTGATACAAGCAAAATGATTGCCTTTGGAAATTTTGTACTTCCTGCAAAATCAATATTTATTCATGACGAGAAAGAAATGCACATTTTGAACGGTTTTCCCGCAGGCCAGAGTACCTAGCAGCTGATCTAACCACTACGACACGGGAACAGTCAGCATATATGAATATCAATTTGCGTAGGGTTAATGAACATTATACATACAATGCATTGGCTGTTGAGTGAAGTTGACCTGTGTCACATCAATGTTTCTCTCTCTTTCTGTGTGTGTGTGTGTCCGGCAGGGCCATATAAACCACATCATGAGGTATTGATCAGCATTGGCGATGACTCCTGGAGAAAATGAATCGACTGAATAAATGGGCGATGCAGAGAAGCGGGTTGCAGATTACCCGGACCGTGTGGGTTTTTTTCCCCCGCATGCTTTGTGCCTTACATACGTGTTCCAGTACTACAGTAGTACCTAATATTGGTTTGTAGCAGATGGGTTTACAATGCCAAAACCACTCCGGATGATGATGGTTTTTAGGTCACACTGCATGAAGTGTGTGAACGTTTTGCACTGTCAATTTTCCAATATTGCTTGATCTCAAAGTTAATGAAGCTTAAATATATTAAGTCTATTTTTCAATAATAAAATACACTTTTATTTTAGTATTAAATTCATTATAATGATTAGATTTGTTTAATTTGATACGTAACTTGAACATTTCAGTTTGATGTGGGCATTTAGTAACCTCTAAAAATGTCAGATGTTTTTGTAGCCATGTTGTCACTGCCAGGGATGGGCAGCATTTATGATACATGTATTTCAAATACTAAATAGTATTTTGTAATTTGTATTTGATAGGGTTTATAAAAATGGGTAAATATTTTGTATCATAATACATTAGTGTCTTGTTTTTTTCATCCATTCATTTTTTTCCCTGCTTATTTATCACAGCGGAATGAACTGCCAATTTATCCAGCATATGTTTTACGCAGTGGATGCCCTTCCAGCCACAATCCATCACTGGAAAACACCCATACACTCTCATTCACACACATACACTACGGACAATTTAGCTTACCCAATTTACCTATAGCGCATGTCTTTAGACTTGTGGGGGAAACCGGACCACCCGGAGGAAACCCACGGGGAGAACATGCAAACTCCACACAGAAATGCCAACTGACCTAGCCGGGGCTCAAACCAGCGACCTTCTTGCTGTGAGGCAATCGTGCTACCCACTGCGTCACCATGACGCCTGTCTTGTATTTTTAAAATACTTTGTAGGAAGTCTACATGATGACATCATAGAAATGTGGCCTCTGTTTGGTGCTTTCTCAGTTATTAGCCTAGGCTTGAGATCAGAACAGAAAATTGATTTATATTGAAGAAGCTGGATAATGCTTAGGAGTATTGAAGGAAATTGTGCATTACATTGTGGCGATACAGTGACATTGTGGTGCAGTGGATAGCATGATCACCTCACAGCAAGAAGGTCGCTGGTTCGAGCCTTGGCTGGGCGTGTTGGCATTTCTGTGTGGAGTTTGCATGTTCTCCACGTGTTCACGTGGGTTTCCTTCGGGTGCTCCGGTACAGGTGACAGGTACAGGCATGCAGTACAGGTGAATTGGGTAAGCTAAAATTGTCCGTAGCGTATGTGTGTGAATGAGAGTGTATGGGTGTTTCCCAGTGATGGGTTGCAGCTGGAAGTGCATCTGCTGCGTAAAACATATGCTGGATAAGTTGGCGGTTCATTCCGCTGTGAGGATCTCAGATTCATAAAGGGACTAAACCGGAAAGAAAATGAATGAATTGTGGTGATACCTATGATAATTTATTGGCTGTTTAAATTGCCAGAAAATTAAGTTATATTAGTCCTATTAGCGCCCCTGAATTATTAGCCCCCCTGTTTATTTTATTCCACAATTTCTGTTTAACAAAGAGAAGATTTCTTAAACTAATTTCTAAACATAATAGTTTTAATAACTTGTATCTAATAACTGTTTTTTTTTATCTTTGCCATGATGACAGTAAATAATATTTGACTACATATTTTTCAAGACACTTCTATACAGCTTAAAGTGACATTTAAAGGCTTAACTAGGTTAAATAGGCAGGTTAGGGTAATTAGGCAAGTTATTGTATAACGATAATTTGTTGTGTAGAAAATATAGCTTAAAGGGGCTAATAATATTGACCTTAAAATGTTTTTTTTTATTAAAAAAAATTGTGCTTTTAATCTAGCCAAAATAAAACAAATAAGACTTTCCCCAGAAGAAAAAAATATCAGACATACTATGAAAATTTCCTTGCTCTGTTAAACATAAAAAATATTTCAAATATTTAAATATTTAAAAAAATAATAATAATAAAAGAGGGGCTAATAATTCTGAGGCCAACTGTACTTAATGCATAAAAAAAGAAGTAAAAAAGTTCAAAAATATCTAGCTACTCATGTAAAGTAGGACTAGAGGCAGAGAATCTAAAACTTGCTCAGAACAGCTGTTGCTATCAAATATTGTTTACTTCAAGTTTAACAATGAAGGGATTGATTGAAAAGGTCTATTCATGAAGTGAATTTTCATGCTAACTTGTAAAAGTATTTTGTAGTACACTGCAAAACCCAACAGTCAACGTTATCAAATGAAATGAGAGTAGTTAACTCAATTGACTGAAAGTTAATTCTACTCATTTGAAAAGAGTTTTGAACTCAGCATTGAAGGTAATGAGTTAACTAAACACCTCATTACCTCAACTTAAATGGAGTAAGTTTTTAGTTCTCATGCAGATTAGTTTAACTCAAATGGTTTGCAGCAATCGGTTTCCTCAAACATTTTGAGATGCCTTAACTTATTGGGTTTAACAGTACTCAGTTGGTTTGAGTTCTCTTCATTTATTGGGTTTTACTGTACTCAAAATACTTAGTGTACTCAAATCGATTAAGCTCCCAGTACTCATATAGATTAGTTTTTCAAATGGTTTGAGTTACCTTAACTTTTTGGTTTTACAGTGTATTTTAAAACACAAAAATACAGTATTTTTTATTACATTTGCTGTATTTTATACTTTATTTTGATTCACGTAAAATGGGGGTATTTGGTATTTCATTTTAAAACATTTCAATGTATTTTAGCCCATCCCTGGTCACTGCTTTGTTATACCTCAATAGATTTGTCTTGTTGTTTTTTACCTTACATTGATTGTAGAAAAGCATTTCAGTGGATTCACTGACTGAATCAATGTCGCTCCTTTTTAAAGTGTTTTGCATAAAGACTAATTTGATTAAAGCGTTCGTGTTTTCTTTGCAACAAATCAATGCGCGCTGTTCCCAAAAGTGCACACAAGATGGCAGTGTCCCATTCCGAATCCCTTCCGAAGGGACTGAAATATTCAGAGCTCACTTACACATCTGCTTTGCATGCGATCCATTTAAAACATCCCTGCTGTTTTATTAAATTCGCCACATTTAGATTTTTGAACACATGCACTTTTAGTTTCTCTTAGTCGCTATGCATACTCATAATGATGTTTTATCTTCTCAGTGATGACTCTATTCAATAAGAACACCACCTGCGCCATCATTGATGTTTTTTCCATGAGGAGCGATGACTTGTATGGCGAATTCCCCTCAGACGGCGAGTTTTAATACTCATTTTGACATGAGCGACTCTTCTTCTCTCAGATATGACTTCCTCAAGCTGCGGCCCAGCTCATAAAACAAGCTTCTCCTACAAGAGACTTATAAGAGCGGTCGTGTATTCATAAGTCATAGTTTCTGCTCCTGTAAGTTATAAAGGAATTACCTTCAGCTCAGGAGGAGCCGTGGGGACGGGTCGAAGTTTCTGCTAAGTCAACCAAGATGGATTTAAGTATATTACCAGCTCAATCTTCCTCAGTGTTAGCTTTTGTCGGTGGAGAAATGAGAGGCAGCGTTCAGACAAAGCTTGACCTCTTGGGGCCGGCTTTCAGAGCCTAGATTTTCAATAATGTAGGACAATAAAGCTTAGTCCTATAACCTACTGCAATATGCTACAAGTGTAAAGAGCTTAGCTGCTAATAAAGCAGGCCGAGGAGTGAGAGAGCGAGGAAATAAAGGAGGGGTGGGGGGGGGACAACAACTCATCTTCAGAACTCATATTTGGAGATCAAGTGCGGCCCATAAGAGCATTTCATAAGGACAGTAATGAGATGCTGAGGAGATCAGAGCGGTCGAGTCTGACAACTGCTATCTGACACATTGGATATGAGCGCAGGATCTTGGTGACAGGCGCAGGTAGATGTTTGTTTAGATGTTGGTGCCTCATAGATGAGTTATTATTTTGTTCTGGAGCCCCCGCCGTGACCTGATGCCGCGTGGACCTGTGCTCCTGGTTTCCTCGTAAGTGGCCCGGGTTGCTGGTGTTTTTCCTCAGGGAGACAAAGGGCTATTATGGGTTTATTGTACAGATCAGCGGGGTCAGGGTGTGCACATGCAGGGGAAATTTCTGGTTCTCGTTTGGTGTCAGCAGGGAGGAGGAAAACCAATCGAGCGTTCTAATATGCTGACTAGTTGCTTTCTTAATTATAGGTGTGTATTAATGATGAAAGTGATGTCGGCTGTTTGCAACACACTCTATAATATAAAGGCTCTTAAAGGGGGTTTCACAGCCATGCTACTGATAAACTATTATAGGAGCCTTTCAGACACACTTCCGTAATAAAGAACTTTCTGTTCAGGCCCAAACTATAGTTGGCCCATTGTAACCTTTGATTTGGCCCGCCATCCCATGTCTGATCCACATCCCCAATATTATTTTTTTTAAAGGATCCTGAAAACCTTTAGCACATTGTTTTAGATGTTGACATATATGTGTGTGGCATGCTAAAACCACACCTGTAGGACACATATACTTCACTATCCAGTGCAAAATGATTATTTTTGTAAGTAAAATAAACATTGAACTCAGTTGTGTTATAAATGAGATTGTTTATGGTTTGATTGTATTATAATTATAGTAGAAAATGTACAAAATAGTATAAAATGTAAAAAAAAAAAAAGGATTAATTAATAATACGACTAAAATATTTTTTCTATTTATTTTCATTTATTATCAAAATAGGAAATTATGGCAACTTTAATGTAATACAGTATTTAGCTTTGGCCCACCACAATCAATCAAGTTTGGTTTTTGGCCCTTCATAAGAAAAAACACCCCTGCTTTTGTTGAATAGAAAGATTTTTCATAAACCACAGATACTATATGTGTATGTATATATACTCTGTAAAAAATGGCGGGGATTTCAACGGTAAAAAAGCTAAAAATGCTACGGTAATAACCTGGTTAGCAGTATTTTTCCTTAATATAAACGGCAAATAACCATAAATTGACTTCCCATAATTCCCTGCGTGGCATGTCATTTCTTATGATTTTTGTTGATATTAATATGGATTAATATGGAGATTTATTCATTCATTTTCTTTTTTTGGCTTAGTCCCTTTATTAATCTGGGGTCGCCACAGTGGAATGAATCGTCAACTTATGCAGCACGTTTTACAAAACAGATGCTCTTCCAGCTGCAACCCATCTCTGGAAAACATCCATACACACTCATACACTATGGACAGTTTAGCTTACCCAATTCACCTGTACTGCATGTTTTTGGACAGTGGGGGAAACCGGAGCACCCGAAGGAAACCCAC